CATCATAACAACTTCAACATGTTGTTGGGCACATTGCAATTGTTGTTGTTTTTCATTTGGGCGGAGTTATTGCCTTTTATTACTTCGTCAATTTGTCTGGACAACTTCTAAACTACTACATAGATTTCTTTCAATATGTACGTATAGGTGTAGCTACGGACACTGTACGACATGTCTTCATTAATTCCCCATAGGACAGTTCTAGTTAACTTTATTTTTATCCATACATGCAAGATGGCCGAATGGATTATGTGACGTATTGCCATCCGTCTTTGTACGGCGTGCGTCATCCGTCATGCGAAATCTATTCACAATCCAACACGATTTATTTATAAAATATGTCGAAAGATAGCATCTACAGCTCACCTGATACGAAGTTGCGTGGTGAGCTTATGTCAGCTCCCACAGAAGATCGAATGGTCGGTTCCTAACTGACATGAAATACTCTACAGGCCGTATGCCTAATGTTCTTGTTCGCTATTTTCAGTCAACAGTGGTCTTACTACAGGATATGCTAAACTGCAAGAGAAAAGGTATAGACTTCATATCCGAAAAATATATGCTTTAAGTGGCTACACTTGGGAAACCAACGGTTTTTCTTTAACCAAACTTCATTGCATTAACCGCCTCCGTGGTCTTGTGGTAGAGCGTCCGGCCGCGTCATACAAAAAGACGTTAAAAGATTGTACTTGTTGTTACCCTGTCTGGCGCTCGGCATTAAGGGGCTAAAACAAGGACTGGTCGGCTCGGAGTCAGTTTTCTGTGTCTGATTGGGGTATTCATGTTAAACTGCGGCATGGTATCTAAGTGGGCTAGCACTATAAATCGGCATCAGCCCGGACTAGTTCAAGCAGCCACACATACACGTGCATGCACGTCGCTATATAAGTGCAATAATCTTGGACGCGACGTTAAACCCAATTTCACCTCACCTCACCTCATTGCATTGGAATCCCTGTCGTTTGTAATAGCATATGACTCTGGTGTATGCTCAACTGTCATATGCGTTATGCTGCAACAAAATGTCATTATTTTATTTAACTCTGTTAATGGACCATTTTAACAACCCACCACCATCTACAACTTGGTCTGATCTGCTTGGGCTGACTCCTCCTTTCCGTCGTTGCGCTTTTATGATAGTAACGAGGTTACCTTGCAGAGTATTGAAAAATAACTTTTTGTAAAACAGTAAGTTTGATAAAAATCGGTTAAAAGGGTTAGGGATCATAAGCCCTTTTATGAAGCCTGAACATAACAACCAGGTGGTCGATGTAGGGAATCCAAAAATGATTAGTCATTTGCACATGTAGACAAAGTAACGATCAATTAAATCTGCGAATTTTCATGAAATTCGATAAGTATTATTTCATAGTGATAACCCTTAATGTAAAAACAATAATATCTATCAATTCAACCCTTATTGTAAAAACAATTACATTAAGAGTATTTTTTACATTAAGGGTTGTAACAAGAGTCAACCCGCAACCCTTAATGTAAATTGTTTTACATTAAGAGTTGTAACACAGCTGTAAGCAATATTCCAGCAATACCACAGGGGCATCAGATATGAGAGTCACGCGTTTTATTATATACTTCACTGTGAAAGGTTGAGTTTTCTTAAGTTGAGTGAACATTGCAGTGAACATAACACTTTGACAGAACTATTGTCATACAAGAGTTACCCCCCCCCCCCCTTAAATTGTCTCCCTTTATCGTAAGTGTCAAGCCCGTACACAAACTGTTGACGTCCTTTTTACGTTAGTTCCACAGTGACAAGGCAAAATAATGACAGGTGGTCATTTATCGAGTTAATGTCACTTCTTGCTGTTGTTATTCTCTCGAAAGTGTTTCGTTATAAACTGTTAATATCTCATTTAACTCGTCAGTCGAGACAGTTCGTTTCGCAAAGCGCCATTATTCTTCCCCGCCCTTAAGGCGGGGAAGTATACGGGAGAGGTTAATTTTAGAGCATGTAAGTCGACATGTTGGTTTCTTTGAAATTTCAAGCCACACAGTTACCGAAACGAAACATACAAATCATGTGAAATGTGCGTGAAATGTTGATGTTTATCTTTTCCAGCAATAAGAGATACTTCAAAATCGTCTTGCTATTCTGAGACTTAGTCACTTTTCGTGATGCTGATAACCCATGAAATTTGTTCATTTTGTTTTTAAAAGAGCTAAAAATGATCCCATTTCGCTAAAGTTAACCAGTCTATATTTAGTAAGAATAAACTTTTGCGCATTGAGCGATTATCTCCTTTAGCTATAGGCGTAGTATAGAAGTGATAAATTCACGCACTGACCTTGCATTGCTGTAAATCGTATCTTATTCAAGCTGTATCACTGAGAGTGAGTGGTTATCTCCCTTACCCGAACAGCTCAATTGCGCACTACCTTTGCAATGTATCGTATGTTATTCAGGCAGCCATCGAGAAACGTTCCAGGAAGGAATTTAGGCCAAGCCTGTCACGCGCACTCAATTTTCACACTGCTTTTGCAACATATTGTTCAACACGATTAAATAACAGGCTTCTATAAAGTATAACTTTGTTCAATAAACAACACATGTAAAACAACGGGTTTGATATGAGATTTTTTTTATTAGTTGTATTCATAATCACATGTATGGCACTTGCTGTGCATAGTTGAGCACAGCATTGTTTTAAATACGTCACTGTATGTAATGAATGGTACATACCGTTTCATGCGGGGGTTTACGTTTCTGCATGGTTTATTGCTTTGACAAAAAGAAAACAACTTCCAGCAGAGATCATACACCCGTATATGGTCTTTACTTCTGGATACATAGGAAATCAACAGGTTGGTGTGTTGTTTGCAATTATTTTCCAAAAAGATAATACGGTTGCATGATATCTTCACGATGTTGGGGTTGAACATAGTAGCATTCTTCTAAACAAATTTCCAATCTAAGCCGGAAGCAATCACAACACAAACCCAGTTAACCAAACGGAACCATACACAAGAGTGAGTGAGGTAGTTGGGTTTAACGCCGTCTGAATAGTATTCCGTGTCAGCTTGAAGTGGGAGGAAAGTCTGAAGTGATGCAGGTCTTAGACGTTCAACACTTTGGTGAAACCAACGAGCAAGGGTTTTGTGCTGACAACAAAATCGGGGCGAATCGAAACACACTGTCATATGTTTCTGGCGTGCCCAAGGGACACAAGTCTGCATAGCGAATTGCAGCGCCTTCGGCGACTGGGCCAACCATGCCCCAGTAAACAACTGTAAGAAACTATTATACAACAAAGATGTTTTAGATGAGATATGTATTGCGGAACATTCCATGAAGAAACAGCGGCAATATTACACAATCACAAATTACAATATACATGCACAATAAACGACAATTAAAAAACACAGGAACATTCAACATTCAAAAGAGGTACATTATAACAACTTAATTTCTAAAACAAGTGTATTATAATTATATGGAAACAATATGAGAATTGAGCAAAACTATGGTAATGTTGTACATACATGTACAAGGAATTTGTTTGTAATTGTTGATATGTTAACAGATCTTGGAAGTTGTTTCTGGATAACTGTTGGTAAACTTATTAAGAATCTGCTCCTTTTAACAGAGTGTACCAAATTCTTTATCATGATTGGGGATGATTTGTGACTCTCTTTCTTAGTTGTATTATGTATGACAGTGCGTAATGTTGTTCATCTTCTGAGACATCACATGTTTCACAGAGACGTTGTTCAAATGGGGTTGGTGTTTTTGTATATCTACAATTTTTTCAATTTTTAGTTTGTGATTACTTAAACGAAGTTTTGAGAAAAATGACCTATGGCCTTTGTTTTTACAATACGTAAGATAATTCTCAATATTTATAGATACTGTATGTTCCTAACTTGCTGCTAGATTAATGGGAATCCATTTAAGATTGCGTGAATTTTTACATTTGAACTGCAGTATATTTAGAGTGGATTCATTACATTTTTTGTGTTTACTATTTTAAAAGTTTGCTTTATTTAACCCCACCAACATTTTGACCAGAAATATTGATATTTTCTGCAAAAGCATGCTTTAGAATGACATTTATTGTGTTATCTATATGGGATTTTTTTATTGGTACTAATAGTGGGTATATATCAAGTTTTGCCTGGCAGGCCCAGTTTTCTTGCCGGGGTTTTCTTTATGCTGACCAATTAAAGACACTGTTTCTTTTATTGTGCTTTCCAAAGAAAAGTACATTAATAACAACCAATTTGTACTTAACACAAATTCTCTCCTCCCATAGCTTACACTTCCTTCCTCTGCACATAACATTATATTGCGGGGAGCTATTGATGCTCTGCAGCAATCTCTACTTGTTGTTTCTTGGCCAGCGTGTATTTTTTCGCTTCCAACAGCGGTCTCCTAGTTTTCAAGAATATTTTTTGTAAAGTTGAATTTGTTTATAATCATATCGAAATGTATGACAACGAACTTTCTTGACCCTTAATGGGTTTTTTTAATACTTTTGTTTACATTTTTTAAGATTTTGCAAACACGAAACTACTTGTTTATTCGCAAATACAAGGGGTGGTTAACCGCCCCTGTGTGTCAGGTAGGGAGAATTTACGTTTCAAGGTTTTACATTTGTAATGTAATTATTTAATTTTCCGGGAGAAAACAAAGTATGTAATGAAGTATATATATCCGGGAAACTACACAATTTAATAAAGTATATAATGAAGTATATATATAGATTTCTATTTTCACTCGTGGCTATCTTTTTCGTTACTGTACTCGCGAGATATTTATTTCATTAAACTGTGAATGATTCACAAGTGTCAAAAGAAAGCTTCAATGCGATTTTTCTGTCATTATTCTCCCTCTTTTTTTGTGGAGAATTTACACCCCTCGCAAAACATTATTGTCTCTTCCGGGGGAGTATTCCTCTGTGTCATGTTAACGATGTCGATATTGGTCACCTTTTGGAGGCGTGATCCCGATTCTATATTTTCATTGGATAACAGTTATACAAATTTGTCCAATCAGAGAAGGGATTGCATAGTCGCTCAGTCATTTCGCACAACACAGCAAGTCAAGATGGTAAGGCACCTACGTGTACTTGGTTTGCGTCGAATGTCGACTGTGATTTTCTCTAAATTTACACTCACGACTTGATCTTTTATTATTTTCAGACAACATACACAGATAAAGGTCCTAAGGTAAGTGTCACGTTTGCATTCTTCGCGAACATGAATCGAGTATTTTCATGTCAGATTAGTTCGACCTTGACCTAACCCACGTGTCCTCAATATGTTTGTATTTTCAGCCCGAGTCGGGGAGGTTTGTCACCTTCGACCATGTCACGTTCTGGGTTGGAAACGCTAAACAGGTGCGTGTTTGAGCTAAATCAGATGTATTTGTTGATTGACAAGTGTTATCGATCGTTTGAAACAACTGTTGAGTGGTGTTGATAAGTGCGATCGAATCAACATTGGGAGAGTCCATTAAGGTAGACAAGAGGGGTGGCAAGTTACGATATGCGAACCGGCCGATGTAAATATTGCGTCATCGCTTCGGACGTGTTTGTCGATGTTAAGGCCCAGACAAGCCATGTTCCGTACGGGCGAATGGTACGTGGTGGTTATTGACAGATCAATATATTAAATATCGCTTGCCAAGGTCACACAGTTAAAACGATCAGAAAAGGTCAGAGTATATATATACATGACATAATGTACTTCTCATAAGAATATTTAGGGACTTATTCAACGGCAGTGTAATAAATTTCCGATATTTTCACATGGCCATTTGGGAGGTTCTAAAGCTGATTGGTCAGTTGAAAAAGTATGACGTCATAAGGTCGACTTGTTCTCAAAAGTTGTTATGAGGTCACAAATTGATAAGGTTTAGGTTATCAGAACAGCTGGTTGTGATATTTTACTGAAGTTTCATATATAATTTACAGTTTATATTTTTTAACAGTACACGGTTAACACTCTAACGATAATATGAGCAACATTAGTATGTGGAGGTACTATTACAGGGTAAGTCTGGTGATCATGGGTTTGAATCCCAGATTACTCCTGACTATAATCCTTGGTATGTCAGCACCTTACCTGTGCTTATGGATTCACCAAGGTGGTAAATAAAGGGCTACTTGGTGTTTAAATGTGTTGTAGGGAAATAGACTGGTGCCCTTCTCAACAAGAGTACAATGTGCAACCATCCTTAATGAATGCAATGAATGCGTTTATTCCGTAAAGGGGCCACCGGCCAATTATACAAGGTACATTGGATTGTCAGTTCACATGTACAGAGAGCGCTGATTATTACATCAGGGAACTGATTCACAAAAGCGCCCGCGAGCCACGAACCAGTAGTCAACAATCATCGGAGTGCTGAGAAGGATGCACAAAAGGTTACTGAGGCCGGTCATAACCCACAGACGCCCAATGGATCGGGTCACAACACATGTTACACACACTGGCAACAACCAGTCTCACATTGTTACAATGGCATAGTACTACATAACAGGCACATCTTTAAGAAGAGTGTTCCTTTACATACTTTGCAAATCTTCTTATAACATAGAGGTTGCAGCTATATAATTGTTTTAGTTTATCCAGAGTTGGACTTATGCATTTATATTTAGGAAGTACCTGTTCCCTTAAATTCGAATAGAATGGACACTCGAGGTGGAATTCAGTTTTCTATATATGGCACAATACAAAACGGACAAAGATGTTCTGGCCTTGGTATTTTATAATGCCTACCTGCCTCTACCAATAGATTATGATTAGAACAGCTAAACCTAATGAGTGTTGTTTGATAGATGGCTATATCAATACAATTAGTCAGATGTTCATAATTAAAATTTTCCTTGACAGAGCAAAAATATTCCAGCTTAGAATAACATTCTAAATTATTATTCCATGTTTGTTGGCAGATATCTTTACATCTTTGCTTAAAACACAATAGAAATGCATTTTTATTTCCAACACCTTGCTGTAACCAAACTTCCCCAAAGCCATATGTATATAACAAAGATTTAACATCAGTAGCCCAACAAGCTTTACCATTTTCTGCCCTTCTATGCTGAAAATCATAAGAACCTTTCATGATAACATTAACCTGTTGTGACAATTACCTTAACCAGAATTTTATAATTTTTATGTAATGCAAAACCTTGATTGATGTTCTATTCACAATACCTCTTGCAGTTTTGTTAGGGGTGTTTCTATTCAAGCTCAGAACAAGTTTACAGAAACGATCGTGTACATTTTCAATATCGGGTGAGGGATGAAATCCTCAAACCTCTGCTCCATAATTTAAAATTGGCAATACTTTTATATAAAAAATATGAAAACAGACACGAGCTGGAATTTTCCCAGTGTTGATTGTAGTATTCGAACTACTTTCCATGCCCGTTGTGCCAAAGTCTTTTGAGTAAGATACAAAGAACCAGAGGACGATAACTGCACACCTAGATATATATATCTAGGGACTATTTCAATGTCCCTAGTTATAAATATCTAGGTGTGCAGTTATCCATCCTTAAACCATCCTTAATTAAAACAATATTAAAAGGAATTTTGAATAAAATTAATGAAATAAGTTACAAACATAAGTCCAGATATACAATGAACACTTTTCATAACTAGACAGTGTAATACATGATTAATTTGCGTACTTAAGTACAGATTTGTTGACATGGTATTTCTGGTGTTACATGCTCATGGTAATGTCTTTGATTTGGTGGAAAAAATATCATAACTCATTATGGCATGTACGGTATAATGCGCACCCCCTTCTACACAGCTGTGGTTATTAGGAAAAAAGTGTGCACTATACGCAATATATGGCACTCAACATGATAAAGCTAGATGTTTTTCTAAATTTGACAGGCAGGAGGTTATATCTGATACACTTGCCAGCAGGTATTCTGAGCAGCTGTTAGCAATATTCCAGCAATATCACAGGGTTGTCGGATACGAGCATCACACGTTGTACCATTGTCTTTGAACCGGAGTCATTGGCGTGATGAGTGAATGCTTTAACCACTAGACTACCTCAGTGTCCCATAGCTTGTAAATAATCAAAATCTGGGCTATTGTTTAGGTCAGTTGTTGACAACGACAGCAATGATTCAATAATCAGAGTACAGGGACTTACAATCAGCCAAGTAACACACTGAAACCACACAAGTCAGCATCTACAACAAGCATAGGTTCTCTAGCCAAACACTGGTTATATGTGATTAAATACAGCATTCATTATAGGGGCAGACTCCATTGCTCAGATGCAGCTTGTATACAGCTCATTTTTGCACTTGTAGTTTTTGTAAAATAGATAGATCAACTAATCCCTGAAGATTTTCACTTGTCTCGGACAAATGGACTAGTGAGCATATCTTTCCCTGCATAAGTGTCATATTACAGTGTTAAATGTCAGGGAGGGGACACATGGCTATGTGACTAAACTGTCAAAATGATTCATGCAAATATTTATCTTGAGTAATATTTTCTGCATCTTTTTGTTTCAAGGCAGCATCTTTCTATTGTTCGCGCATGGGCTTTGAGCCCTTCATGTACAAGGGGTTGGAGACAGGCAGCAGAGACATTGCGGCGCACGCAGTCAAGCAGAATAAGGTGAGGGGGAGTACAGGTGGAGTGGGGGATGTGGGTGGAGTAAGTGAGGGTTGTGGGTGGAGTAAGTGGGGAATGTGGGTGGAGTACGTGAGGGATGTGGGTGGAGTAAGTGAGGGATAAGGGTGGAGTACATGAGGGATGGGGGTGGAGTAAGTGAGGGATATGGGTGGAGTACATGAGGGATGGGGGTGGTGTAAGTGAGGGATATGGGTGGAGTAAGTGAGGGTTGTGGGTGGAGTATGTGGGGAATGTGGGTGGAGTACGTGAGGGATGTGGGTGGAGTAAGTGGGGAATGTGGGTGGAGTACGTAAGGGATGTGGGTGGAGTAAGTGAGGGATGGGGGTGGAGTAAGTGAGGGTTGTGGGTGGAGTAAGTGAGGGATGTGGGTGGAGTAAGTGAGGGATGTGGGTGGAGTACGTGAGGGATGGGGGTGGAGTAAGTGAGGGATGTGGGTGGAGTAAGTGAGGGATATGGGTGGAGTACGTGAGGGATATGGGTGGAGTAAGTGAGGGATGTGGGTGGAGTAAGTGAGGGATGTGGGTGGAGTAAGTGAGGGATGTGGGTGGAGTAAGTGAGGGATGTGGGTGGAGTAAGTGAGGGTTGGGGGTGGAGTAAGTGGTGGATGTGGGCGGAGTACGTGAGGGATGTGGGTGGAGTAAGTGAGGGATAAGGGTGGAGTACATGAGGGATGGGGGTGGAGTAAGTGAGGGATATGGGTGGAGTACATGAGGGATGGGGGTGGAGTAAGTGAGGGATATGGGTGGAGTAAGTGAGGGTTGTGGGTGGAGTAAGTGGGGAATGTGGGTGGAGTACGTGAGGGATGTGGGTGGAGTAAGTGAGGGATAAGGGTGGAGTACGTGAGGGATGGGGGTGGAGTAAGTGAGGAATGTGGGTGGAGTAAGTGAGAGAGATGGGTGGAGTACGTGAGGGATATGGGTGGAGTAAGTGAGGGATGTGGGTGGAGTAAGTGAGGGATGTGGGTGGAGTAAGTGAGGGTTGTGGGTGGAGTAAGTGGTGGATGTGGGCGGAGTAAGTGAGGGATGTGGGTGGAGTAAGTGAGGAATGTGGGTGGAGTATGTGAGGGATGTGGGTGGAGTAAGTGAGGGATATGGGTGGAGTACGTGAGGGATGTGGGTGGAGTAAGTGAGGGATATGGGTGGAGTACATGAGGGATGGGGGTGGAGTAAGTGAGGGATGGGGGTGGAGTATGGAGGGATGTGGGTGGAGTATGTGGGTGGAGTAAGTGGGGGATGTGGTTGGAGTATGTGGGGGATGGGGGTGGAGTAAGTGAGGGATATGGGTGGAGTAAGTGAGGGATATGGGTGGAGTACGTGAGGGATGTGGGTGGAGTAAGTGAGGGATATGGGTGGAGTACGTGAGGTATATGGGTGGAGTAAGTGAGGGATATGGGTGGAGTACGTGAGGGATGTGGGTGGAGTATGTGAGGGATGTGGGTGGAGTAAGTGAGGGATATGGGTGGAGTACGTGAGGGATGTGGGTGGAGTAAGTGAGGGATGTGGGTGGAGTAAGTGAGGGATGTGGATGGAGTAAGTGAGGGATATGGGTGGAGTACGTGAGGGTTGTGGGTGGAGTAAGTGGGGAATGTTGGTGGAGTACATAAGGGATGATGGTGGAGTAAGTGAGGGATATGGGTGGAGTAAGTGAGGGATATGGGTGGAGTAAGTGGGGAATGTGGGTGGACTAAGTGGGGGATGTGGGTGGAGTAAGTGAGGGATGATGGTGGAGTAAGTGAGGGATGTGGGTGGGGGGTGATGGTGGTGTAAGTGGTGGATATGGGTGGAGTAAGTGAGGGATATGGGTGGAGTAAGTGAGGGATGGGGGTGGAGTAAGTGAGGGTTGTGGGTGGAGTAAGTGGTGGATGTGGGCGGAGTAAGTGAGGGATGTGGGTGGAGTAAGTGAGGAATGTGGGTGGAGTATGTGAGGGATGTGGGTGGAGTAAGTGAGGGATATGGGTGGAGTACGTGAGGGATGTGGGTGGAGTAAGTGAGGGATATGGGTGGAGTACATGAGGGATGGGGGTGGAGTAAGTGAGGGATGGGGGTGGAGTACGTGAGGGATGTGGGTGGAGTATGTGGGTGGAGTAAGTGGGGGATGTGGTTGGAGTATTTGGGGGATGGGGGTGGAGTAAGTGAGGGATATGGGTGGAGTAAGTGAGGGATATGGGTGGAGTACGTGAGGGATGTGGGTGGAGTAAGTGAGGGATATGGGTGGAGTACGTGAGGTATATGGGTGGAGTAAGTGAGGGATATGGGTGGAGTACGTGAGGGATGTGGGTGGAGTATGTGAGGGATGTGGGTGGAGTAAGTGAGGGATATGGGTGGAGTACGTGAGGGATGTGGGTGGAGTAAGTGAGGGATGTGGGTGGAGTAAGTGAGGGATGTGGATGGAGTAAGTGAGGGATATGGGTGGAGTACGTGAGGGTTGTGGGTGGAGTAAGTGGTGGATGTGGGCGGAGTAAGTGAGGGATGTGGGTGGAGTAAGTGAGGAATGTGGGTGGAGTATGTGAGGGATGTGGGTGGAGTAAGTGAGGGATATGGGTGGAGTACGTGAGGGATGTGGGTGGAGTAAGTGAGGGATATGGGTGGAGTACATGAGGGATGGGGGTGGAGTAAGTGAGGGATGGGGGTGGAGTACGTGAGGGATGTGGGTGGAGTATGTGGGTGGAGTAAGTGGGGGATGTGGTTGGAGTATGTGGGGGATGGGGGTGGAGTAAGTGAGGGATATGGGTGGAGTAAGTGAGGGATATGGGTGGAGTACGTGAGGGATGTGGGTGGAGTAAGTGAGGGATGTGGGTGGAGTAAGTGAGGGATATGGGTGGCGTACGTGAGGGATGTGGGTGGAGTAAGTGAGGGATGTGGGTGGAGTAAGTGAGGGATGTGGATGGAGTAAGTGAGGGATATGGGTGGAGTACGTGAGGGTTGTGGGTGGAGTAAGTGGGGAATGTTGGTGGAGTACATAAGGGATGATGGTGGAGTAAGTGAGGGATATGGGTGGAGTAAGTGAGGGATATGGGTGGAGTAAGTGGGGAATGTGGGTGGACTAAGTGGGGGATGTGGGTGGAGTAAGTGAGGGATGATGGTGGAGTAAGTGAGGGATGTGGGTGGGGGGTGATGGTGGTGTAAGTGGTGGATATGGGTGGAGTAAGTGAGGGATATGGGTGGAGTAAGTGAGGGATGGGGGTGGAGTAAGTGGGGAATGTGGGTGGAGTACATAAGGGATGATGGTGGAGTAAGTGAGGGATATGGGTGGAGTAAGTGAGGGATATGGGTGGAGTAAGTGGGGAATGTGGGTGGACTAAGTGGGGGATGTGGGTGGAGTAAGTGAGGGATGATGGTGGAGTAAGTGAGGGATGTGGGTGGGGGGTGATGGTGGTGTAAGTGGTGGATATGGGTGGAGTAAGTGAGGGATATGGGTGGAGTAAGTGAGGGATGGGGGTGGAGTAAGTGGGGAATGTGGGTGGACTAAGTGGGGGATGTGGGTGGAGTAAGTGAGGGATGATGGTGGAGTAAGTGGGGGATGTGGGTGGAGTAAGTGAGGGATGATGGTGGAGTAAGTGGGGGATGTGGGTGGAGTAAGTGAGGGATGGGGGTGGAGTAAGTGAGGGATGTGGGTGGACTAAGTGGGGGATGTGGGTGGAGTAAGTGAGGGATGATGGTGGAGTAAGTGGGGGATGTGGGTGGAGTAAGTGAGGGATATGGGTGGAGTAAGTTGGGGATGTGGGTGGAGTAAGTGGGGGATGTGGGCGGAGTAAGTGAGGGATGTGGGTGGAGTAAGTGAGGGATGTGGGTGGAGTAAGTGGGGGATGTGGGTGGAGTAAGTGGTGGATGTGGGTGGAGTAAGTGAGGGATATGGGTGGAGTAAGTGAGGGATATGGGTGGAGTAAGTGGTGGATGTGGGTGGAGTAAGTGAGGGATATGGGTGGAGTAAGTGGTGGATGTGGGTGGAGTAAGTGAGGGATGTGGGTGGAGTAAGTTGGGGATGTGGGTGGAGTAAGTGAGGGATGTGGTTGGAGTAAGTGAGGGATGTGGGTGGAGTAAGTGGGGGATGTGGGTGAAGTAAGTGGGGGATGTGGGCGGAGTACGTGAGGGATGTGGGTGGAGTAAGTGGGGAATGTGGGTGGAGTACGTGAGGGATGTGGGTGGAGTAAGTGAGGGATGTGGGTGGAGTAAGTGAGGGATGTGGGTGGAGTAAGTGAGGGTTGTGGGTGGAGTAAGTGGTGGATGTGGGCGGAGTAAGTGAGGGATGTGGGTGGAGTAAGTGAGGAATGTGGGTGGAGTATGTGAGGGATGTGGGTGGAGTAAGTGAGGGATATGGGTGGAGTACGTGAGGGTTGTGGGTGGAGTAAGTGAGGGATGTGGGTGGAGTAAGTGAGGGTTGTGGGTGGAGTAAGTGAGGGATATGGGTGGAGTATGTGAGGGATGTGGGTGGAGTAAGTGGGGGATGTGGATTGAGTAAGTGAGGGATGTGGGTGGAGTAAGTGAGGGATGGGGGTGGAGTTAGTGGGGGATGTGGGTGGAGTAAGTAGGGGATGGGGGTGGAGTAGGTGAGGGATGTGGGTTGAGTAAGTGAGGGATGTGGGTGGAGTAAGTGAGGGATGTGGGCGGAGTAAGTGAGGGATGTGGGTGGAGTAAGTGAGGGATGGGGGTGGAGTAAGTGAGGGATGTGGGCGGAGTAAGTGAGGGATGTTGGTGGAGTACATAAGGGATGATGGTGGAGTAAGTGAGGGATATGGGTGGAGTAAGTGAGGGATATGGGTGGAGTAAGTGGGGAATGTGGGTGGACTAAGTGGGGGATGTGGGTGGAGTAAGTGAGGGATGATGGTGGAGTAAGTGAGGGATGTGGGTGGGGGGTGATGGTGGTGTAAGTGGTGGATATGGGTGGAGTAAGTGAGGGATATGGGTGGAGTAAGTGAGGGATGGGGGTGGAGTAAGTGGGGAATGTGGGTGGACTAAGTGGGGGATGTGGGTGGAGTAAGTGAGGGATGATGGTGGAGTAAGTGGGGGATGTGGGTGGAGTAAGTGAGGGATGATGGTGGAGTAAGTGGGGGATGTGGGTGGAGTAAGTGAGGGATGGGGGTGGAGTAAGTGAGGGATGTGGGTGGACTAAGTGGGGGATGTGGGTGGAGTAAGTGAGGGATGATGGTGGAGTAAGTGGGGGATGTGGGTGGAGTAAGTGAGGGATATGGGTGGAGTAAGTTGGGGATGTGGGTGGAGTAAGTGGGGGATGTGGGCGGAGTAAGTGAGGGATGTGGGTGGAGTAAGTGAGGGATGTGGGTGGAGTAAGTGGGGGATGTGGGTGGAGTAAGTGAGGGATGTGGGTGGAGTAAGTGAGGGATATGGGTGGAGTAAGTGAGGGATATCGGTGGAGTAAGTGGTGGATGTGGGTGGAGTAAGTGAGGGATATGGGTGGAGTAAGTGGTGGATGTGGGTGGAGTAAGTGAGGGATGTGGGTGGAGTAAGTTGGGGATGTGGGTGGAGTAAGTGAGGGATGTGGTTGGAGTAAGTGAGGGATGTGGGTGAAGTAAGTGGGGGATGTGGGCGGAGTACGTGAGGGATGTGGGTGGAGTAAGTGGGGAATGTGGGTGGAGTACGTGAGGGATGTGGGTGGAGTAAGTGAGGGATGTGGGTGGAGTAAGTGAGGGATGTGGGTGGAGTAAGTGAGGGTTGTGGGTGGAGTAAGTGGTGGATGTGGGCGGAGTAAGTGAGGGATGTGGGTGGAGTAAGTGAGGAATGTGGGTGGAGTATGTGAGGGATGTGGGTGGAGTAAGTGAGGGATATGGGTGGAGTACGTGAGGGTTGTGGGTGGAGTAAGTGAGGGATGTGGGTGGAGTAAGTGAGGGATGTGGGTGGAGTAAGTAAGAGGGATGTGGGTGGAGTAAGTGAGGGATATGGGTGGAGTAAGTGAGGGATGTGGGTGGAGTACGTGAGGGATATGGGTGGAGTAAGTGAGGGATATGGGTGGAGTAAGTGAGGGATGTGGGTGGAGTAAGTGAGGGATGGGGGTGGAGTAAGTGAGGGATGTGGGCGGAGTAAGTGAGGGATGTTGGTGGAGTACGTGAGGGATGTGGGCGGAGTAAGTGGGGGATGGGGGGTGGAGTACGTGAGGGATATGGGTGGAGTAAGTGGGGGATGGGGGGTGGGAGTTGAGTAAGTGAGGGAGTAAGTAAGGGATGGATTAAGTGAGGGAATAAGTGAATGATGGGGATGGAATAAGTGAGTGATGGGGTTGGAGTAAGTGAATGATGGGGATGGAATAAGTGAATGATGGGGATGGAATAAGTGAGTGATGGGGATGGAATAAGTGAGTGATGGGGTTGGAGTAAGTGAATGATGGGGATGGAATAAGTGAGTGATGGGGATGGAATAAGTGAGTGATGGTGTTGGAGTAAGTGAAGGATGGTGGTGGAATAAGTGAGGGATGGGATGGAATAAGTGAGTGATGGGGTTGGAGTAAGTGAAGGATGGTGGTGGAATAAGTGAGGGATGGGGTGGAATAAGTGAGGGATACTGTCATACGGATAGTAAGTCGGGGATATAGGTGGAGTTAGTGATGGGATGGGTGTTATGAGTATATGAGTGTTATGGATAATAAACATCCGAAAACATTTAGTTAGGCCTACGCAGTAGGTAGTTTACTACATCTCTATGTTTCTCACCATCTTTCATTTCAGATCATATTTGTATTCCAGTCCATGTTGGAGCCTAACAAGCCACAAGGTATCTTGAAAGTTGTTGAAATACAAGGGGGGTGACTGAAAAGTTCTGAGCCTAACTATGAAGGATGTATAATACACTCTTAACAGTTTGCATGTATTAAGTACAATACTTTCCATGCTTACATGCTGCATTTGAGTCACATGCACAACCAGGCAGCTGTTTCTGCAGGCATCAAAGTGACTATTCTGTGTAGATGAAAATGGACAAAATTGGTGTAGTACCTCCAACTGAAAGAGCGGACTCCAACAGCCATCTATGCGGACATGGTGTCAAGTTTAGGGGATGATGCTCCTTCCTTAGCCACAGTAAAGAGTGTGCAGTTGGAAGATGATCCACAATCAGGAAGACCTGCAGCTGGCATGTCAAAGGTTTCAGCACTCCTGATCAGAAACGTTCATCGTACACATCTCGCTACTTTTGACATTTTACTAAATCACCATTCACAGCGTTATTTTGTGTATGTTTTAAAACTTAAGTAAGTGATATTTACTCGGAAAATTCAATAACAGAAAAGAACAGTAGTAATCATGGGTACGAGGGCTGGTCAAAAGGTTCTATGCCGGACTAACTTTCAACTATGGGCCATAACAAAGTGAACTAGTCAATGTAGTACATTGTTTGAGTAGTTCATTGCAAGTGTATTTGGTCTGTTAAGGCCGTTTGTATATTAGTGACAGACAGTTGAATGTGATAGAGTTCCAAATGGACACAGAAATGGAAAAGAACAAGTACCGAGCAGTAATCAAGTTTTTTACTTTTAGAGAAAAGTACGTCACAAGTCTTTGGGGATAAGTGCCCTAGATATTCCACTGTTAAATGTTGGGCAGCTATGTTTAAGGCTGGAAGAACAAGCCTTGATGATGGCCATAGGTCTGGACGTTCCTAAACTTCCATCAATGAAGATTCAATAAAGGAGATAGAAAAACTTACACTGTCAGATAGATGTATTACCATTGCTGAACTATTATTCATGAACATTTACAGATGAAATAGATATCTGACCGTTGGGTGCCAAAGTTTCTAAATTCTGATCTTAAGGAAAAAAGAACTGACATTGCCAGGGAAAATTTAGAGCTAACTGAGGAGGATTGCGTCAAATTCAAAAAGAGATTAGTAACGTGTGATGAAACAAGGGTCTACCACTATCGTACTGAGTCAAAATATCAATCCATAGATGTAACCATTCCACTTCTCCGACACCAAAGAAATTCAAGATCAGTTACAGGTGCTAGTCACTGACTGATTACATGATGCAGGTTCTAATACCGGACTGATAGTATGTTCCAGGTGCTAGTGTTTCCTATGGGTGGCCATTCAGTCAAGAAATACAAAGTTCAAATAAAGGACAAAAGTTATAAAAAATAGTTAAAAGTTACGAATAGAATATTAAATGTTACTTATAACGATCAAAATACAAAACAAACAGATGCTGGTTAAAAAAAAAAAAATTGAATTAAAGGTCAAAAGTACGCAATATTAATAGTCAAATGTTACAAAAAGACGTCATATGAAAAGAAAGAACAATGTGTACTAAAGAATGTCAGTGCGCAAGAAAGGACAGTGAACTGCTAAAGGACAACGTTGACAATTTGAACATCAGATGGCGCATTTGTACTTTGACCTTTATTAGAAACATTTAATATTCTATTCGTAACATTTAACTATTTTTCATAACTTTTGTCCCCTATCTTGACTGTGTAGTTTTTTACCGAATGGCCGCCTTTAGTTTTTTTGTATATATTTTCCAGAGTTTGGTGACCATTTAGTAAAACATGGAGATGGTGTCAAGGATGTGGCTTTTGAAGTGGAAGATGTCGATGCCATCTTTAAGGTTGGGCTATGGAGATACACAGTATATGTTTTGAGATTTGCGGGTGTTAGTGAGTATTTGCTGACTGACAATTCAATTGGCATTTGGATTTTGTTAAAATATCAATGCATCAAATACTCAATACACTCATGAGGATCAGGTTAGAGAAAAGGTCTTCAGCAACCCATGCTTGCTGTAAGAGGCGACTATGCTTGTCGTAAGAGGCGACTAATGGGATCAGGTAGTCAGGCTCAGTGACTTGGTTGTTGTATGTCATTGTATCCCAGTTACTAGATTGATGCTCTTAATGTCAATCACTGGATTGTCTGGTCCAGACTTGATTATTTACAGACCGCCGTCATATAGCTAGAATATTGTTGTGTGCGGCATTCAACAACAAACACACAAACAAACAAACAAAACTTTGATTGGTTGGATGAAAGGTCGTTCTGACGTGACCTGTAATGGGATGTCCTCAGATCTTTGTTTAGCGAAAGCGAGAAACTATGGTCTGATTTTAATGAGATTGATGCAGCAGATACTCTCAATAAGTTTATAATTGTAAGTCAAACTCTTCTACGTGACAATCTAAAGCTAATGCTGTGTAGAACAATGCTCATGCTATCCACCACTTGGTTGAAGTCTCTAGACTGAGGCACACTGGACACCCTGCTGACATGGATGAATGATCATGTTATCAACCACTTGGTTGACGTCTCCAGGCTGATGCACACTGGTGACCCTGATGGCATGGATGGGTGCTCATGTTATCAACCACTTGGTTGACGTCTCCAGGCTGATGCACACTGGTGACCCTGATGGCATGGGTGGGTGCTCATGCTATCAACCACTTGGTTGACGTCTCCAGACTGAGGCACATTGGTGACCCTGATGGCATGGATGGATGCTCATGATATCAACCACTTGGTTGACGTCTCCAGACTGAGGCACATTGGTGACCCTGATGGCATGGATGGATGCTCATGCTATCAACCACTTGGTTGACGTCTCCAGGCTGAGGCACACTGGTGACCCTGATGGCATGGATGGATGCTCATGCTATGAACCACTTGGTTGATGTCTCCAGGCTGAGGCACACTGGTGACCCTGATGGCATGGATGGATGCTCATGCTATCAACCACTTTGTTGATGTCTCCAGGCTGCGGTACTGGCCATACTGTAATATTGTTGGAAAATTGCAGACATTGCTGTGATATTGATAATGTTGCTGTGATATTACAGTAAGATTACAGAACCCAACTGTTCACAAATACATTGAGCATACATTTAGGGGATCAGTTGGTCACAAAGGCTGCTTGATATGAACAGTACACAGTGGGTCACTGTACTGACTGACCTTTGCATCGCTAACAACAGTGTAAGACTCCATCGCTCATAGACAACAAAGTCAGACAGGAAAGTCAGACAACAAATGTAGATTTTTGTGTTTTCCAGCGAGCTGTTCAGCGTGGCGCCATCGTGTTGAAGGAACCCTGGGAGGAGAGTGATGATAACGGAACTCTGAAGATGGCAGTGATCCAGACGTATGGAGACACAACCCATATGCTGATAGACAGGTCCAACTACAAGGGCCCCTTTCTCCCCGGCTACAGGGCTGTCGCTGACAAGGACCCTCTCACTGCACTCCTGTAAGTACACAACCAAGCTCACTGAAGTCAGATCCTTTACTCTGATACGATACCTCCCATCGTGTTAAGAATGGGCGAAGCATTCAGACCATCATATCAGATCTCTGTATCTTGAAAACAAAGTTAATCGACCTGTTCTGAATTAAATGATAAACGCAGTGATATTATATTGTTTTGGATATTTAATATATGCTGTATTTTCTGAGGGCATATCATTCACAAGGGCATATCATCGAAGGAATATTTGTGTTTTTATGGGTTTTTTCTTTTGTTGATATAGAAACTTCCAAATCAATGTGGAGAAGAAATGCAGACAAATCACTTTAATCACCTGAAATCCTTCATTTGAATGATGAAGGTTCACCTGACACAACCTTCTTTGAAAGTTCCCTCCGATCTAGACACAGATATGTATCATGTGGTATAGCTTAAGCTTGTCTAAAGACCTGACAAGGGCAGCAATCAGGTGGTCGGGTTCTGTGATTTAAGACCTGACAAGGGCAGCAATCAGGTGGTCGGGTTCTGTGATTTAAGACCTGACGAGGGCAGCAATCAGGTGGTCAGGTTCTGTGATTTAAGACCTGACGAGGGCAGCAATCAGGTGGTCGGGTTCTGTGATTTAAGACCTGACGAGGGCAGCAATCAGGTGGTCAGGTTCTGTGATTTAAGACCTGACGAGGGCAGCAATCAGGTGGTGGGGTTCTGTGATTTAAGACCTGACGAGGGCAGCAATCAGGTGGTGGGGTTCTGTGATTTAAGACCTGACGAGGGCAGCAATCAGGTGGTCGGGGTTCTGTGATTTAAGACCTGACGAGGGCAGCAATCAGGTGGTCAGGTTCTGTGATTTAAGACCTGACGAGGGCAGCAATCAGGTGGTGGGGTTCTGTGATTTAAGACCTGACGAGGGCAGCAATCAGGTGGTCGGGTTCTGTGATTTAAGACCTGACGAGGGCAGCAATCAGGTGGTCAGGTTCTGTGATTTAAGACCTGACGAGGGCAGCAATCAGGTGGTCCGGTTCTGTGATTTAAAACCTGACGCGGGCAGCAATCAGGTGGTCGGGTTCTGTGATTTAAGACCTGACGAGGGCAGCAATCAGGTGGTCGGGTTCTGTGATTTAAGACCTGACGAGGGCAGCAATCAGGTGGTCAGGTTCTGTGATTTAAGACCTGACGAGGGCAGCAATCAGGTGGTCGGGTTCTGTGATTTAAGACCTGACGAGGGCAGCAATCAGGTGGTCAGGTTCTGTGATTTAAGACCTGACGAGGGCAGCAATCAGGTGGTCGGGTTCTGTGATTTGGTCAGCTGCAGTTCATCATGCTCCGATGGTGTGGATGACACTCATTTCTTCTGTCATTTGTTTCAGCCCCCCAATAGACCTGCAGATGATTGACCATATTGTGGGGAACCAGCCTGACAGCGCCATGACAAATGCAGCAGAATGGTAGGTCCGATCGGAGAACCTGTAGCATCACTATGGAGTGAGTGAGTGAGTGTCATCGCTTTGAGCCATATTGAAGTGATGCAGGTGTTTACCATTTTTGCGAAACCCATGAGAATGGGCATGGTGCTGGAATAAAATTGGGGCAATATGGGATTTGAAAGCCCATGATCATAGTTTTCTGGCTCATCTAAGGGACGCAACTGTTCACCGCAAACTGTGGTGACTTAGAAAACTGGGCGACGCATAATGCCCAGGTTTGTGTTTTCATAAACTCAGAGTAAGTGAATGTGTTGGGTTTAACACTGCTTTGAATTTCAACAGTTCCACTTATATCACAACGTGGGAGGTGGGAGGAAAGCCTGTCTCAGACGTATACCACTTTGGTGAAACCCACGAGCACGAGTATGGAACTGACAAACCTTGAAACATAAACAATCGGGGCGAACTGGTATTCGAACCCATGATCATAGGTTTCTAACGTGACAAAGGGAGGCAACTCTGCACGGCAACTCTGCACAGCATAATGCAGCACCTCACACTAGCTCAGAAACTTATGGTGATTGCAGAACAAAGTTATTAAAAACTCTGCAGCCTAGATCCAAACAAATCTGATTTAAACGCATATGACTGGTCTCAAAATGTTTTTATTATTATTACACGATTGTGAAAGTTCTAGATTGTTCTAGACGTATTGTGACATTGTGTGTCATCACACGTTTTGTGACATTTTGTGTCATCACACATATTCTGGCATGTGGCTTGTGCAGATTTCGGCCGATTGCAGAATTTGCAAAACATGAGAAGTGCCAACTCGGTGTCAACAGATATTTTCGAAAACCTTTCATGTTTTATATCAAGATGCTCATGATTGATGCAGTTTGCAAAGTAAGACCCGTTTTATTACAATATTGATCTTGATCATCGATCTGATCATCCTGACTGGGCACCACCATTTTGTTTGAAACAAATGCAAGTGATATGAGAAGTAAAGTCTGATTGGTCAATAGGAGGGTCATAGAAGGGATCTAATACATAATAGCCACTGGTGGTGTTACAAACTAGCCTGACCCGTGAAGATCCGGAATAGAATAGGTCTTCAGCAACCCATGCTTGCCGTAACAGGCGACTATGCTTGTCGTAAAAGGCGACTAACGGGATCGGGTGGTCAGGCTCGCTGACTTTGTTGATGCATCACATCGTATCCCAATTGCGTGGATCGATGCTCATAATATCAATCACTGGATTGTCTGGTCCAGACTCGATTATTTACAGACCACCGTCATATAGCTGGAATATTGCTGAGTGCAGCGTTAAACATAAACAAACAAACAAACAAACGAGCCCAGAAATTCCAGCGTAGTTTGGTAAGTGTGGGAACTGTTAACTCCCTTGTCTCGGGAAGATTGTAGACTATCAGTATCAATGCATTGGTGTATTGCTGTGTATTGCTGTGTATTGCTGTGTATTGCAGTGTATTATTTTTGTACAGTTGTGTATTGCTGTGTACTGTTGTGTACTGTGTGTATTGGTGTGTAGGTATGAGAAGAACCTAATGTTCCACCGCTTCTGGTCCGTGGACGACTCCCAGATCCACACCAACTACTCCTCGCTCCGCTCCATCGTGGTCACCAACTACGAGGAGACCATCAAGATGCCCATCAATGAACCCGCACCAGGGAAGAGGAAGAGTCAGATTCAGGTACAAGCTCCACACACTGTGCTCATTTGGTCAAAGCAGACATAACCATTAGGATTTAGCATAATCATTACAATATTTTGAAACATATTTGGCCCATATGATTAAATGAAATATGTTATGAATTTATGTCCAGAACAACACTGTCAGGATTGAGCTAGTTATAAACTAGGCATTGTCACTTATACAACCAATTAATAATAACTTGTTTTAGCTTTTGCTGGGAAAGTGGGAAGGTTTACAGATTTAAAGCAGTTTAGGTGATAAAAGGCCATGCAGTTTTTACTTTTATACAACAGTTATGCCAGATATTCCAAATTGCCTCAGTCTAGGGTTGTCAATGCACCTAAATACACTGTGCAGAGTTGCTCCCTTAGGTGCTTGTAATAGATTTAAATGCTAGATTCACGGTCTTGCTCCAGGTTCAACTCAGTGGTACATATTGATGACCTCTATTTTAGGCTTCTTCTTCTCCTCACAACCCTACATTTCACAAATATGGAATAAAACTTAAATTATGAGGACAGTAAAAAAAATTGCCTTCAAGTAGTCTGTTACCTGTAGTAAAATGTTGCAGACATAGGCCTGTTTTCAGGTTATAAAAGAGATTAGGTCTGTAACCTACCTGTAACATACCCTTCTTGACAGTATAACAGTAAATACCCTCCTGGACAGTATAACATTACGTACCCTCCTTGACAGTATAACAGTAAATACCCTCCTGGACAGTATAACAGTAAATACCCTCCTTGACAGTATAACAGTAAATACCCTCCTAGACAGGAGAACATTACATACCCTCCAAGACAGTATAACAGTAAATACCCTCCTGGACAGTTTAACATTACATACCCTCCTGGACAGTATAACAGTAAATACCCTCCTAGACAGTATAACATTACATACCCTCCTGGACAGTATAACATTACATACCCTCCTGGACAGTATAACATTACATACCCTCCTGGACAGTATAACATTACATACCCTCCTAGACAGTATAACAGTAAATACCCTCCTGGACAGTATAACAGTAAATACCCTCCTAGACAGTATAACAGTAAATACCCTCCTAGACAGTATAACAGTAAATACCCTCCTGGACAGTATAACAGTAAATACCTGCCTTGACAGTATAACAGTTAATACCCTCCTAGACAGTATAACAGTAAATACCCTCCTAGACAGTATAACAGTAAATACCCTCCTAGACAGTATACGATTAAAAGAAAGAGTGATTATTGATGAAAAGCTTAGCAATTCCCAACAGTAGTTTGTGGTTTAGTAAGCATGCTGTTTGACTTGTACAGGAATACGTGGACTACTATGGAGGAGCAGGGGTCCAGCACATCGCCATGAAGTCCCAAGATATCATCCAGACGGTCAGTACTGTTATTACTACTGTAAATCCTTAAAGCTTTACCCAGAACTGTTCAGAGGCTGATATTTGATCACAGGTCAGCAGCAAAAGTTCCCCAAATGGGGTTTTATAATTTTTCCTCATTCATGTTGTGGCTTAACTAATATTATGGCTTTGTGGAGGTGACTTATATTTCACTGATAACACCGACCAGCTTGGTGTGCTTGTGGATAAAGCATCTACACGTAGAGTGGAAGGTCTGAGGTTTGATCCCTGGCAATGTCATACCAAAAGACATTAAAAGATGGTACTTGTTGTTACTCTGCCTGGCGCTCGGCATTTGGGGGCTCAAACAAGCACTGTTCAGATTGGAGTTAGTATACTGTGTGTGAGTGGGGTATATATGTATTTATGTATACATGTACGGCAGCATACTATTTATGTAGCAAAATGACTTATTTATAATGTTTATTCATTGTTTTCACCCGTGAAGATCCGGGGTAGAATAGGTCTTCAGCAACCCATGCTTTGCGTACAAGGCAAATATGCTTATCGTAAGAGGCAACTAACGGGATCGGGTGGTCAGGTTCACTGATTAGTTGATCCATGTCATTATATCCCAATTGCGTAGATAGATGCTCATGATGTCAATCACTGGGTTGTCTGGTCAAGACTTGATTATTTACAGACCTCCATCATATAGCTGGAATATTGCTGAGTGCGGCGTTATTCATACCCTTTCCCTGCTGCAAACTCTCATCATGGATAAGTCTTATCTTGCTGTCAGTCTTCGGGATTGCTCCAAATGCACTAACAACTGTAGGTTTTGTTGTGGCAATCTCATAACTTCCTGACATTAATTCTTCCTTTATCTGCCGTTCTGTTGTGGAATGTGTGGAGGTTGTTCGTCATGGATCCCTCTGTGCTTCAGATCCGCAACCTGCGAGCCCGTGGAATGCAGTTTATTCAAGTTCCCAGCACCTACTACACCAACCTCCGCAAACAGCTGGCCAACTCTAAAGTGAAGATCATTGAAGATCTTGATGTAGTATGTCACCTTTCTTATGGTTCTGGAAGTGTATTGCCAAACAAGTTGTATTGAAATGTATTGCAATACAGGTATTTGTATTGGGGTATGTATTGCGATGTATTGGGAGCTAGAGTTTTGGACAGTAATTGAAAGTGATCGTACATGCAGATATTTTTTTTCTACATACTAGAGTAAATATTACTCAGCACGGTCAGTTGCCACCATTTTGTAGTCATGGATACAGGGGAGAAAACAACGCAAGAAACAATTCACTTCTGTGTTTCTGAAATTTGTCAATTAATTTCGAAGTGAAACATCATTTTTACCCAAGATACTGGAAGACAGAAAAAATATTGCAATACATATGGACGTATGCCTTCTCATCGGAATTAATTGGTGATGACCTGACCACGATGTGGCCTGACATTCTCATCTTGGAGTTCAAAACAGGACACAAAATTTCGTCAACATATGACTGGCCATTCAAATGTCCATTAACAATAATCAAATCAGTTCGTCTGTCATGTGTGATACTGCCCCGCACCATGACACTACCGTCCCCATACCGCTACCGCTAGCGCTAGCACTATATAATCGAACATTAGTCTGAACTAGTACAAGCAGCGACTAACAGGATCGGGTTGTGAGGCTTGCTGACTTGGTTAATGCATGGCATCGTAACCCAATCGCGTGGATCGATACTCATGATGTCAATCACTGGATTGTCTGGTCCAGACTCACGCACGCACACACGTTGCTATATGAACGTTGGCTCAAGAACACACACCTCCTTTGTTTTGGTATGGGCACTCAAAGTTCACTCAGGGTTCACCTGTACAACCATATATGGAGGTGTTGTCTGGTTTTCACTTTTGTGACATTGTCAGGCAGAGGTTTGTCTGGTCCCAGCGGCAGTTATGTAGCTGAAATATTTCTGACTGTGACGTAATACAACATTAACAAGCAACCCTTCTGAATTTGTAGGGGGGGTCGGGTAGCCTAGTGGTTTAAGCATTCGCTCGTCACACCAAAGACCCAGGTTCGATTCCCGACATGGGTACAATGGGTGAAGCTCATTTCTGGTGTCCCCCCCCCCATGATATTTCTTGAATATTGCTATAAGCGGCGTAAAACCATACTCACTATATGAATTTCAATTCAATATTTTCAATATTTCAAGAATAGATGAAATGCTGGTTTCTGCTGTAGCTCCAGAGTCTGAACATCCTTGTGGACTATGACGACAATGGCTACCTGCTCCAGATCTTCACCAAGATCATACAAGACCGGCCCACCTTGTTCCTGGAGGTCATCCAGAGACACAATCACCAGGTGTGTAAACGGGTACCAGGTAGGGTGCTTTGTCACCAGGTGTGTACAGGGGTACCAGGTAGGGTGCTTTGTCACCAGGTGTGTACAGGGGTACCAGGTAGGGTGCTTTGTCACCAGGTGTGTGTACAGGGGTACCAGGTAGGGTGCTGTGACACCAGGTGTGTGTACAGGGGTACCAGGTAGGGTGCTTTGTCACCAGGTGTGTGTACAGGGGTACCAGGTAGGGTGCTTTGTCACAAGGTGTGTACAGGGGTACCAGGTAGGGTGCTGTGTCACCAGGTGTGTGTACAGGGGTACCAGGTAGGGTGCTTTGTCACCAGGTGTGTGTACAGGGGTACCAGGTATGGTTATTTGTATATCCAGACATTGTCACCAAATGTTTCTGCTGCAACAGGATTTTAGAGTTGAAAGCTTTGTTGATTACTTGAAAGGATATGTGTCCTTGATTCAAATGGATGGGGAATCGAAAGGGAAAATGGGGAGATATCGCTTGGGTGAGTTAAAGCGTACAATGAAATTGCATCACAAAGGATTAACAGACCATTGTCATCGGTTACCATGACGTCGTAATCAAATGACATCACAAAATCTATCTGCTACTGAAGCTGGTTAGCTGTACCATTTACATCCAAGACATTGGATATAACTGAAAATGAAAAAAGAATCATTTTGGATGATAAACAGAATCTCACCCTTATGTCTTTTGATATGTCTATACTATATTCACTGCAAAGAAATTGCTGATCACTTCACTCTGTTTCAGGGATTTGGCGCGGGAAACTTCAAGTCTTTGTTTGAGGCCATCGAGCAGGACCAGGCAGACCGAGGCAACCTGTGATTAGGGTCCTGTCCACACTGTCTGGTGTACATAGGAACTATATGCTGTTTGTAACATGTTCTGCACAAACTGGACTTGCCTTATCCATAGTCATGTAATGAATCTCACCACTGCTTATTTATTCAGATCTTATACAGAACTACTAACCATACAAGTCAATATGTGACATCAAAGTTTTTCAGCACTTTAATGTGTTTGCTCTCTAACAGATCTGGATAAAGTGTGTCAATATTTATTAAGGCTACAACAATTTTTTTTGTAAGGAATACATTTGCAGCTTCCGCTGAATTCTGAGTCCTTGGAATGTAATATATATATATGTGCTTGAGTGTTGTGATGGTATTGGTCAGTTGGTGGTTAAATTTTGCAACAAAAATGCAACAGTGTGTTGTGCATAAGTCATTGGAGGAAAACACTGAAACCAAGTGTAAAAATTATTACAGATTGTATTTAAGAAAGTGCCTTATGTGAAATATGCAAGTAGTAGAAATGAGATCGTGTGTTGTAAGAGAAGGACATGTGGAACACACTTTCCCCAGTGGCCGACCCTGTGAGGAGGCAGATTGTTATTTGTTGAAGTATTTTAACAGTGTATTTTCTGGAGTTACCTGAAGTATTTTTCTACCCTGATGTTTAACTGAGCTACCATTCATCCTGTGTTTAAGCCAGCTATCTCATCCTCTGTACAGACGCAGCTCTGCAGATTTGATTTTGCTCATACTTGAAAAACATGTCTAGATACATTTTTCATAGAAAATGTGAGATTAGTTTTGGGGTAGTTCCTCTCAAACTAAACTGTTCAAAGTTTCCAAGAGTTATGTTTCACATTCAAATCTATTGTGGGCCTATGTAGATGGGGACTCTGGTCTTGGACAGACAGACAGCCAAAGAGGTGTATCAGTAAGGTGTGATATTGCAAAGATAAGTATTTTGACATTTTCTGAATCCAACATAAGAAAAATATCAAAATAAACTTCGAACAATTTGAAACTGTTGACAATCATTTTACCATTGATTTTTGATGATCGTGCTTGACTAGATTAAAAAAGAAGACAATCAGACATATTTCAACACACAATGTTTGATGTGTGGGTGTTTATGAAGGCTTTGATGTGTGTATTCACATATATATGTATTGATATATAATTGTAAGATTGAATGTACCAGTTTGATAAAGAAGTGAAAGAGGTGTGTAGAATATTCCATCTACAAATAAGTGGTAGAAGGTTGTTAAACGTTACATCAGCATTCCATACTACCCACATCAGTCAATGGATTCTTGACACAAATATAGACACAGGTGTTTATCACCATCTGAATTGTTGCAAGTGTGAATAAAAAATTATGTATATTGAATATGCAGCTAATGAGCCTGAGTTGTAGCCGGGTATGTAGTGTGTTCAAGGGTGGTGGGGTAGCCTAGTGGTTAAAAGTGTTCGCTCGTCACGCCGAAGCCCAGGTTTGATTTCCCACATGGGTACAATGTGTGAAGCCCATTTCTGGTGTCTCCTGCCGTGATATTGCTGGAATATTGCTAAGAGCTTGTAAAACCATAGTCACTCACTCACTCGTGTGTTCTCTATTCAAAAAGGCCTGGGTTTGATCCCCAAAATGGATGCAATGTCTGAACAGTGTTAAATTTACAAAATTGCCAGGCTGCCATCAGGACCCACAGACTTTAGAAGCTGCAGGCCCTGACTAAACTCTTCAGGCCCTCATGTCAAACACTGCAGCTTCTTGTGACAAAGACATTGGCACATAAATTTACTGCAGGCCATGACCCATGCAAATGTGAATTGGACACACGATCTACCGGCAGGCGCTTATTTCAAACACTGTGCATGAAGCCCATTACTGGTGTCCCCCACCGTAATATTGCTGAAATATTGCAAGAAGTGGTGTAAAACCATACTCACTGACTCACTCATTCCCTAAACTGGTGCAATTTATGAAGCACTATTAACCTGAACACACTATACCAGGGCTTTTTGAAATTTGTTATTCCCTTCAGTAGTACATGTATGTTAACTTAGGTTGTCTTTTTTATCAAACTGGTACTTTGTGAATTGTGATTGTGTACATAGTTGGTTTTGACTACTCATGTTTAATATCAGTATTGTTGATGTAATACTTCGTGATGAACTGGGCCCATTTGGCAGCTGATGCAATGTATAGTATTGTGAATAGTGTGAATGAAGCAAGACAAATCCATGCATAATTGGTTTTTTTCACTAATTTTCTCTAAGAACATTTCTATTCTATTCTGTTTTTTCATGACTTTTCAGGAATGTTTTAAGAGGGTCTACATCCAGCGTGTCCATGTCTGGTCTTGATCTAGACATTGTAACTAGTGCCATGTGGGAACCGTCTCCCTTGAATTTGGGGAATTGTTAACTGATCTTTGTCATAAAATTTCAAAGACCAAGTGTGCTTTTAATGACTTGAATCCAATGTCCAGCGGGGGCACAGGTGGCCTAGTTGTCTAAGGCGCTGCGATTCGCTTTGCAGAGTTGCGTCCCTTGGGCATGCCAGAAACCTATGATTGTAGGTTCGAAACCCGGTTCACCCTGATTATGTTTCTAGGTTTGTCAGCACCATACCCGTTCCCCTGGGTTTCTGAGACTTGTATCACTTCACTTCTAAAACTTAGTTCAGTCAGTACATCAATGTTTAATAGAGGGAGTCCAAATGTTAAAAGTTTTTGTATAGTATAAGTGCTACAATATGCTGCTTTTTTTTTTACATATAGTTTATTTTTTCTAGACTTCAACCATATCTTTTCTTGAAATATACAGTATTAACTACCGATATATATTTGTCTGGCACAATGATATATGTTATTTCTATTCAGTTGTAATTAGAGAATTTGTTGACCAGTTTTGTTTTGATATGTACATTTGTTTTGAATTGAGTTATATTTAAGAATAAGATTTGAGTCTGTGGTTTTTATTGGTTAAGTTTGCGAATTTTACTGTAGACAATCTGTTTGTTTGTGAGTGAGTATTTTTGTGTTTTATTGTAAAGATTTGTTGATATATAATCGACATTCAAGACTTGATATCTCTTATAATTGAAACAAGTGATCATTTTGTACTAATATATCCCTGCTTGCATGTCAAATCTTTGAACATTTTAAGATATAAGCATCTTAATTCAATTTTCTGCTTTTGTGATGCTGCCTTTTCAAGACTTACTCAATACCTATCTGTTCTGGAACCTTTGTTCCCAGTGCCTGAGCTGATGATGATCATTATCATAATCCGGATGCTGTGTCAACTATTTTATACCAGGGCTTTTTGAAATTTGTACTTTTCTTTCTTAACATTGTCTACCTTTATATATGGATAAAACTGTTGCGCAAAACACACAGGTGCATTTTCCGAACATGTTGGCATTTACTTATGCCCCTGTGTTGTCTGTGGAGAAGTAGTCTTGTGAATGTGTGAGGACATGCTTAGCTATTATTGTATGATATTCTCTGTATATGGTTATGGTGTTTGAAAGAGTGGAGTGGGAAATAAAGATTATATTCACAGTTGTGTCAGTATTATATTTCTTTGGTTAGCTAACCTGACTGCAAGTCAAGTGAGCTTACATCATGGGACCGCCTCCGTGGTGTAGTAGTGGAGAATCCTCCCGGAAAGCGGATTCTAAAAGACGTTTAAAGATGGTACTTGTAACCCTGCCTGGTGCTCGGCATTAAGGGGCTAAAACAAGGACTGGTTGGCTCAGAGTCAGTATACTGTTTCTGAGTGGGGTATTCATGTTAAACTGGGGCATGGTATCTCAGTGGGCTAGCAATATAAAATTGGAATTAGTCCGGACTAGTACAAGCACACGTGCATGCACATCACTATATAAATCAGGGATGTGAGCAGGTCTTCCCGAAAAAAGAAGAAAGAGGAGTCTGGGGGGGCATTCCCCGTCCCCCCCCCCGATATCTTTTAAACATTTGATTGCATTTTAAGCAATTTCATGCAGTTTGGACTACATTCACCCCAAGAAATGTAATAAGTCAATGGCAAAAGTCAATAAGTCAAATAAACAAGATGGCAGATGCAGTAAAATTTCGAAGTTAAATCAGTACTTTTAAGAAATCGGGCATCGCTTCCGCGAACCCGGCTACCCGCCAGGTCTGGGGACAATACTGCCATAAACTTCAACCCCCATCCCCCAGACACAAGGACAACTGTCACAAGCGTGCAATGTCTGACCGATTCCCCACGTTGAAGCATATTGACAAAAAACTTACCTTGTACTTACTTACCTTTAGTTGAAAAACACAAAACTCCACTGCAAACATAAGACATTAATACAACATATATCCCCATGATATGGGTTTTCGGACGCTGCAGAAACATTCATAGTTTTCTCGCTTAATCACATGAACAACTGTAAAACATCTCATTCACTCACAGGCTAAAAGACAACTTTATCTTAAAAACAAGCCATCATCTGACTCTGAGTATTTACAATTTCTGTGTGGCACCACACCCCACGCAATAGTGCAAGTATTTGTGATAGAAAACATATGATGCCCGAAAACCTGTGGCTGAAAGTTCTGATCGAAAACAGGACAATTCGAGACGGTTGTTGTCCAGTTTTTGATCATATTTTTCGGCGTGTATTTTTTAAAACTTTGATTACATTTTTACACGGAAGATGAAGATGACTACTGTTTAAAAACACGCAATTTTCCGCGGAGATTTCACGTCCTTGATAAATGCAATAACCTTGGAAGAAACGTTAAACAGCATTTCATTTCACCTCATGTCGTGGCCTGTCTGTCGTTAGCCCTTCATCATAACCATCTTCTCAGAAACCACAGGACCAATCAATGAAACGTCAACTTCACATGCTTGTTCAAACCAAATTGTTGACACTGAATTCAAGAGGTTTCAATCAATGGAAAATAAAAACATATGCATTAACCCCTCCCAAACCTCCATCACCCCCAAAATAAATATATGCCAAATTCCCATGTCACATGGAGAACAAGGCCCACATGGCAATAGATTCAGAAACAAAATCTTGCATGTCTCTTCTTTTACTTCTCCCTTCCTACAAGCTAGGATATTTTCACAGACGCCCATAACCAAAAAGTGAAAATGTGTGGCCTTACCAGTTCCACCCACACCATCTATGGTAATCAAGCAATATGTTATTATATGACATTCAGTCACCACGCTATTTGCTGCACACCCACACTGAGTTGACCAGCTGTTGCTATAGCCAATAATTGCAAAGAAGAAATACAATAATCCTAGACAGATTGTGCTGTTCATGCAAAAATAGTCTGGACTGGCAAATATATGTGACTGAACAATACCAACCATTCATATCAAAATTGGCAAATGTTCCTCATTAGTTCTTGTCATTATGAGGGCGGTGGGGTAGCTTAATGGTTAAAGTGTTCACTCGTCACGCCAGAGACCTGGGATCGAATCCCCACATTGAAACAATGTGTGAAGCCCACTTCTGGTGTCCCTGCCGTGATATTGCTGGAATATTGCTAAAAGCGGTGTAAAACCATACTCACTCACTTGTCATTATAATGATGGTGTTTAGTTCTCCAGAGAGCTTCACACATCAGCTCAAGTCAAGACCCATTTTGTCAAGTCTGTCGTGTGCTTTATTAATTATTATATAACAGGAATACTGCTAAAAACGGTGTTCAACCCAATTCACTCACTCACTCAAGTTACAATGCATTTTTAGTATTTTCTCTGACATCACTGTTTTTTGTGAAGATGAAATGTTGGATGCAAGATCCAGCAATGGCATCTATCAAGTATAGGTTTGAGCACGAGGACCTGGTGTGCTCCAACCTATTTAAACCATGGCCAACATTCAGATACCTTAGCACCTTTAAACAATTGATTTGATAACCATATTTAAAAAGATATTCAAGAACTGTGAGAAGACTGTGAGTGATGCATGTGCATCTCGCACTTTGGCGACTTGGGTTAGGAAATACACAACCTGCTTAAATATACAATTCATACTGGACCAACACAAGGATATTTATCAATCCCAAATATTATTTGCCCATGTTGATGGGCCTATTACTAGCAATCACAGCCCTGATCAAGGAATGAGTAATGAAAAGCTACCAATAAATGTTCAGAACATACAGACTAAATCACAAATATACCTGTTCATATATGGATGAACTATTCATCTTGATGTTAAAATATGGCAGTGTTAATTCCACATGATGTCTTCCATGTTCCTGAGGCGAGCGAGAGAATATATATATATCTACAGACTTTCACTATTGTATTGTAAACAAAACATTCATTGCCACATCTACTTACAACATTGAACTTTGTGTTGTAAATGAGAGTAGCGCCATTGGACCACATAACGAACAATAATATTACAAACTTGCAGACTAGATAGTTTACTAAACGAGTCCCTGTTAGATACCCTGCATGTATATTTCAAGACATAGCTAAGGAGCTAAAGAGATTTGGTAATTCTAATATTCAAGTGATTTGGTTAATTCAAAAGTTTATGGGTTTTGGGAGGATATAGACAGGTATTACATCCCTCAGTAACTCAACAAGAACTGTCAACAGTCAATTTCAGATACTGATACTATAAAACAATACAATAACCACGTAACATGAGTTCACATTGCTAGAAGTCTGTATGTAACAGGTGTCAACTGAGGAGAAATTAGAAAAGCTCGGATGTGGTCAGTGTAAACACAAAACTCTGGTTTGGGCAGGTTCCGCTGTACTTTGTATCTGCACACCAAAGAGTGGGAAGGCACTTTTTGGCAAACTGGAAATGTCAAATTTTAAATCCGTGGAAAACTTTAAAATATTGGATAGAAACTTATCAGACATTGAAATTGCTGACAATTAGCCTTCTTTCTTTCCTACACTGGATTTCTGACATGGTCAAATACACAAATACTGTATGTCTAAAGAGTAAAAGATGAATTCGTTATCATATGTTTGTAATGTGTTTATCTACAATGTATATCTTAAAGGAAAATCAGCTTGGGTGAAAGACTTGTGTTAAAATATTAGAAAAACACTAACATAAAACAGATTTTATCCTTACCTGTGCATTTAGTGTTCTGTATGTCCCAAATATGTAATTGCTGACATATAGAAAGTTTAGTGCTCATATCTGGTAACTTTCATAATTTATATGCAAGTTTAGCTCAAATTTGCATGAATGATACAGGTCCTGTTGGCCAAGAAGGTCCCTCATCCTCCCTCCTACTCGGACTTTACAGTGGACATATTGCTACCTTTGGAAACGCTGACTTCCATCAGACCACTTGGCCCACTTGCATAAAGTGATCTTAGCGCTGAGATGATCATAACTCTCATATTTTAACACAGACTTACGATAGTCGTAGTGCTAAGATCACTTTGTGCAAGTGGGCCCTGGAGTCTACCACGGTAAACATAGGACAGTGCTGAAAATACATAGCACCTACAAACAACAAAATTCAAATTTCATTCATTTTTTTAATCAATTTTCAGTTTTTGCAATGCATAGATTACAAAATACTACCAATTCAACAAATACATAAAAAAACATGCTCCACAATCATATTATACAAGAAATGATTAGTCCCAACATTCTTCCTTGTCTTTGGGCCTGAAGCTTTAAAACACTGCAGCAACAGGAGACACAAACCAACCTGCTGCCCAACCTTTGTCAGGAATACAAATGGCCGCTCCAATGTGCATCATAACTGCTCACTGAAGAACAAACAATGCTGTTGAATGAAGTCAATGTTACAGTGAGTGAGTGAGTAGCGTTTAATACTTTAGTAGTATCTGTCTGGGGACCCCAGAAATGGGCTTCACTCATTGTACTTGTGTGGCGATCAAACTAAGATCCTCTGTGCGATGAGCCAACACACTAACCTCTTGGATACCCTATGTTAAAGTTTGGGACTTACTATCACCCTAGAGCTCACATTGCTGGGAGGCCCATCCACCCTAAAGTAAATAACCACTTAAATCCTGTCACTACAACAAACTGGGTTCTCAGTACAGGAAATGCATAGTTCAATATCTCTGTTCCCTGTCGTCCTCTGTTCCCTGATTGCAATCACCATGATCTTACAATAGTGAGGTAAAATGGGATTCAAGATTGTTTCATTTACGCAATGTGCATGTGTGGTTGCTTTTACTAGGCCAGACTTACACCAGTTTTATCGTGCTAGCTCACTGAACAGTTTAACATGGATATCCCACTCAGACACAACATGCTGACTCCGAGTCTGACAGTCCTCGCCTCATCCTCTTCATGCTGAGTGCCATGCAGGGTTACAGCAAGTACCATCTTTTGGTGTTACCTGACGAGGGAATTGAACCACTGGCTCTTCAGGCAGACACTCCATCCACTACACCACAGAGTTACTTTGCTGCCTATTTATGTCCCACACACAAAGTGAGGGAAGGAAGTACTTCCCTTCTATCCAGGCATGTCAGCTGGGAGGAAGACCTGAAATGACCACTTGGTGGAACTCACAAGCATGGGTATGTTGCTGACAAAGTGAGGGTTAGAATCAGGGTGCTTCCAAACAATGATCATAGAGTCGAGAGAGAAAACCCAGCATGCATGACTTGGCCTCCTTTGCTCTGGCAAAGTGTGGGTTTGTCCACCATATTTAGTGACATTGATGCATACTTGAGGTCTAGCTGGTCTATATCTGATTGCCCATTTCAGTCATATCCCAACAAGCCAGCTTAAAGGAGGTGGATTGGCAAAAGTACTGCAGCAAGGCAATGAAGAACTAAAGTGAAATCACATGCATACAATGGATCATACCAATGTGAATTTGAGATCTGAACCCACAATCAGCAGTTCCTGGTGTGACCAAGGGACGCAAATCTTCACAGAAAACTGCAGCACCTTGACGATTGGGTCATCGATGACCCCAAAAAATCAAACACACATAAACAAAGAAAGTGGGTGCTTATATATTAGTGATCTGGAGTTATAGCAAATTGATAAAATTCATTAATTTCTGTCTATGTGCAGCAATGTTTCACTCATGATGTTGTAATTTGCTGTGACATTTTCACACGACCAGGTTACAATGCAGGAATGCCATCACTGAAGCAGATTGCATAAAGGACATCGCTCCTCACACCGACACATGTCGTAAACAAAAGCACCTGTGGAAAAACGGGAATCGATTCCCTTGTTATATACACTGCATGTTTGACACTGTGTCTGTAACGCATGCAGTAGCAATGTGCATAAACATCAAAATCACAACATGCTTGGGGAATCCTATACACAGTGACATCTGCGAATCTCAACAGACACAATGCTTATCTCACAGCTGCACTACTACTACCACAAGGCAGAGAGTGAGCTGGGCTCACCAATACCCCAGTCTTCCACTCAACATATTTGTAAGTTCAAAACATGAAAAAAGCAATATTTTCTCTAAAAATTCAAAACTGTACCCCCAATTGGAAAAAAAGCCATGAAGTAGTTCCCAAGTTATAGGTCACACAAATGTTAAAGTACAACAAACCATTCTAAGTTCAAAACATGTAAAAATTCATATTTTCGGGGAAAATCCACATATTAAAATCAAATTTTGCACTTAGTTTTTAAGTTAAAGGTTGCACAAAGTAAAAAGAAAAAAGATTCTAAGTAAAAAACAGAAATAGCTGTATTTTTTCTGAAAATCCAAATATTGACATCAAACTTGGCACTGCACCTCTCCTATTGGTATAAAAAGTGTGCACCCAGTTTGCAGGTCGCAAACAAATCTGACAGACGGGACAGTATTCCTTGGTATAACTATATACCCTCACCCTTTTAGGTTGGGGGTATAATAAATACACATGCAAACATGTAGATGATAGCACACAATATATTATGAAATAATCATATATGATAATTCTATATAACTTACGAAGTGACACAATCCACTATGTTATCTGATCATACAATCGTCCTTGACTATCCAGGGTATCCATTTAATTGTGATGAACACCCTAGACCTGTTTTCCACAACAGCTTTGTTTTATCACTAAAATTAGCCATCCAATCACATGACACTTTCATGATGGAAACAAGAATATATCACCAGTGCTCGACTTGTCTTTCTGGAAGATGTGTCAAGCACAACGGAAAATGACTGTCAGCGTCAGGATTTGACTCCCACGATATAATACTCAATAACAACTGTCATCTGATTTGATTCCTGTATTCGCCGTAATACCATGGGTGCTTAAAATATTGATAAAGGTGGCACTCATTAAAACAATACACAAGTTAAATTTGGTTTCAGAGATCGAGTGATGGTAAACAAAATTAGTTTCATTATATACCCCTTTCTGATCTATAAAAAAATATGTAATATACACACGAAAGTATGGACAGGCATTTCAAGTTTCAGTCCTTTTAGCTTTTGGCAAGCATGATCCAACTTTACTCCTGATATGATATCTACAATACAGAAATTCATGAGGGTATTAATTATATAATGCTACTCTTGAAGTTTAAGGGATGCTTTCACTCAAGTAACTTTTGAAACTGAGATTATGTATATTAATGGAAAAAAGTGTCCTTCAAATAAAGTGGTGTAAATGTTTATTTATTGAATGAATGAATATTGTTTTACGCCGCATCAGCAATTTTCCAGCCATTCACGGCGAGTTATTTATTGAAAATAACATAATATTTGGTCATTCGTCTGAACAATGTCTAATAACAAATTCATTAAAAGAAGAGTGGTGTAGTGAGTGAGTGAGTGAGTTGGGTTTAACGCCGCTTTTAACATTATTCCAGTCATATCGCGGCATGTCAGCTTAATGTGGGATGAAAGCCCCAAGCGATGCAGGTTTTAGACGTTTACCACTTCGGTGAAACCGACGAGCACGGGTATGGTGCTGACAAACCTAGAAACATAATTGGGGCAAACCGGGATTCGAACCCACAATCATAGGTTTCTGGCATGCCCAAGGGACACAACTCTGCACAGCGAATCACGGCGCCTTAGACGACTGGGCCATCCGTGCCCCCAGAAGAGTGGTGTAAGAACTCACTTAACATTATAAATATCAGGTGTGGCCACCATTTGCGGAGAAGTCACCAGATGAACACAGCCAGGAGGATCTTGTTCCCAATGTCAACCACAGAACAGCACAGATAAGCTAGTGGTCAACCACAGAACGGCACAGATAAGCTAGTGGTCAACCACAGAACGGCACAGATAAGCTAGTGGTCAACCACAGAAGGCACAGATAAGCTAGTGGTCAACCACAGAACGGCACAGATAAGCTAGTGGTCAACCACAGAACGGCACAGATATGCTAGTGGTCAACCACAGAACGGCACAGATAAGCTAGTGGTCAACCACAGAAGGCACAGATAAGCTAGTGGTCAACCACAGAACGGCACAGATAAGCTAGTGGTCAACCACAGAACGGCACAGATAAGCTAGTGGTCAACCACAGAACGGCATAGATAAGCTAGAGGTCAACCACAGAACGGCACAGATAAGCTAGTGGTCAACCACAGAACGGCACAAATAAGCTAGTGGTCAACCACAGAACGGCAGATAAGCTAGTGGTCAACCACAGAACGGCACAAATAAGCTAGTGGTCAACCACAGAACGGCACAGATAAGCTAGTGGTCAACCACAGAACGGCACAGATAAGCTAGTGGTCAACCACAGAACAACACAGATAAGCTAGTGGTCAACCACAGCAGCACAGATAAGCTAGTGGTCAACCACAGAACGGCACAGATAAGCTAGTTGTCAACCACAGACGGCACAGATAAGCTAGTGGTCAACCACAGAACGGCACAGATAAGCTAGTGGTCAACCACAGAGCAGCACAGATAAGCTAGTGGTCAACCACAGAAGGGCACAGAAAAGCTAGTGGTCAACGTGGCATTGTGTTAGCATTGTGTTAGCATTGTTATGTATGGTCAAAGAAAGTTGTGTATATTAGCACCTCAAATAATCATTAAAAAATATGTGAATATCATCCTCCCATCAAACACGCACACATCAAAATTGTGAGCCATGAATTAACATGTACATGCAATTTGTGAACCTGACCTTAAAGTTGAGTAGATGTCTTCATGAATGTGTATTGAAAGATGTATTATTTAATTTCAGAATAAATATATCATATTGTATACAATGCAAAAGGTAAAGGTCACATATTTTCCATATCACTACAGTGAACTGGAATATCTGTTGTATAGTGATTAGCAGCCAGGTGTGCATTGCATTGATTAACAGTAGTTCTGATAAGTGACCTCATTTGCATATTTATAAGATTGTGATACAAAGTTTATTCCATTAGTATATTGCATTAAAAACTATCCCTTATATAATGTGACTTACACTCCACCTGACAGAGGGACCAGGCCGACCCAGCAAGCCTCATTCTAGTCATTGTTTGCCAACTCAAATTATATGATGTTTATCAGTCTCATTTTAATAAATACCTTTAAGCAAGACTTATTTTGGGGTATAAAATCTCTTGTTGGTAGGTGGCATCTTCCTGAGGCAAGAGAGTTAACAGGCTGTAAAAGTCCAGTTTCCAACCTTGCTGAACTAGGCTGGCAACTGCGAAATTAAGACCCTTCTATGTCCCTCCTATTGACCAATCATGATTCCACTTCTCATACCACTTGCATTTGCTTAAAACAAAATTGCTGCGGCCAGTCAAAATGATCTGATTGATAATCAAAATCTATGTTGTAGTAAAAGGGGTCTTACATCGCGAAGTGCATCAAATCATGTGAGCACCTTGATTAAAAACATGAAAAGATTTGGAAAGTATCTGCTGAAGCCAATTGGAGGTGCATATGCTTTTCAAATCTTGCAATTGACTGAAATCTGCATGTCAGTTTACTAACCGGATGTTGATTGGACTATGCATAGATTCGTTTGTGCATCCAAAATATTAACTCGATAATTCCAGCCAAGTTCGGCAACGGTGGAAACTGGACTTTTACAGTCAGTTAACTCCCTTGCCTTGGTAAGATGTGTGGGTGGAGAAATTCTTCTTCTAATTGTCATATGGTCTATGGCAAATCTGGACCATGATGAGACTGATAAACTTAAATATCAGAGAGTATGGTTCGTAGTTTGTCATTTGACACTGTGGTAACCTAGTAACAGCAATGGCTTAGACTTGTGGCCATGACACCATCATCTAACCCTATCAAAACTGTTTACATTATTCAACAAAAACTTATGAATATTTGGTTCGCAATAAAAACTTACTTGAAGGCTTTACATACATATAGCAAGAAAAACAGAAAATTCAGAAACAAAACAATACTAAAGCCAACATCACAGTGCTAGTTGTTCTGTTGCCGACTCCATCCGCAGGTCCTCCTACCACCCATAACCATGACAACACTGTCTTGGTCACTGGGCAATAGGGTCAGGCGTCACGACTTGACCAAAGCCTGTGGCCATTACAGTTTGTGACCAAGTAGTCATGATTCCCATGTTTATCCGGACATGCACATACTTCAAGTCGTGATATTATCATTCTTTGTGGGATGTGAGCCACAAACTCAAGTTGTTGTTATTGAGGGGACCCACTAAATCCCATTTATGGGACACATATTTCATGCATACCATATTTCCTGTGCACGTCCTTCAACAGAGACGGGTGACTCAAACATTGTGTGTTGTTAAACAGTAAATACCTTACCCCAAACTAAATAATCCCTAACTTCTCCCCAGCGTGTCCGGGTTTCCAAGATGACACTGAGTACCTATTCCCTCAGCTGTGCTTCAGTAGTCAACACCCACAGGAGGGACACAACTAACATCAGAAATACAGGATACTCCTTGCTGGTTGCATAAATGCCAGACTTGCCATAATGTTGTTTATTGCATAATATTTTGTACTTAACATGATATATGTTATGTGAAACAAAACAAAAACAGAAGTTGCTAGTGAATATGATGGTGATGAAGATGGATAAGTAGTGTTTTATCCCACTTCTAACAACTTGACAATATTGGCCTGCATATGATGATGATGATGATGATGGCAAGACTGAAGTGTTGACATTAAGACCTTACAACATCCTACATATCGTTACTTATGCATGCCGTTTGCTTCACAAAACTAGAGACATGCCATGCTGTTGGGTAGTCATTTTATTCTGTGGAATGCCTCTAAACTGTTCACATTCCAACCCTCTCATACTAACTTTCTCAATACCATTAAAATCAGATATTTTACTCTGATCCCTTTCTGCTTGAAGATCTGACTGCACCTCAATAGGTCTTCTCAACTTCTAAATGAAAGACACGTGAGTTCTTCAGTCAATCAGATGTCACCTTTCTAATATGATTTGCCTCCATTTTTTCACCACCTTGTTTCAGAGTTTTCAATTTTAACCCAAAAATACCTATACAGAACAATGTATATATTCCTTTGACACCATGGCACTCAGAAACAACTGGGTGCAAAAATTATACCCAACAACATAATGGTGCTGCCTTTTCCATTTAGTGATTTACATTTTGAAAGATGCCAATTAACTTTGTTTTCAAGATACAGAAATCAGATATGCTGATGTGAATGTACTAGTACTGAGGATTTAGAGGCCTCTACACCGATTGGCTGACTAGAAAGTTCAACTGACCCGATCTTCTATGGAGACTGCTGTGTATTGTATCAGAGTAAAAGATCTGATTTGATTGAGATCCTAGTTTTTTATTACCATATAGGCATGCTGATAGAAAGTCGGTTTTAACTTCTTTTTAAAAATTCAAGTAAGAAAACCAATCACAAAATAAGGATTCGATTCTATCTGATATTGAAAGAACATCTGCATTAATCACCATTAAATGGTGTCATATATGCAGTGAATCAATTTAAAAAAAACACTTTATTTTTTTAAGGTAAACAACCTGGACACAACAAAGCAACAATAATAATAATCATCAACTACCTAATCATTAATAAATATCCTTGACTGATATTAACAGGCAATTAATGAATTTCAGAAAGGGCAGATTTATACCTCATGAAACACTGGAAAAATTCAGTTTAAAACATTCTTACTAAATTGTGTTGTTTCAAAATTGAAACCCTAAATTTCTACTTGTTGACCGTCCAAGGTCGTTCACTATTCCGCTGCCTCTCCAAAGACGACATTGCTTTTTTAGGCGGAACCAGAGCGTTTGACATCCCTACTCTGGATTTCCGTTTCTTCCCAGCCATATAGTTGTCGTCATCGACTGGTTCAGGTTCCAAGGCTTTACCTTGCATCTTGTGAACAGACCCAAAATACAATTGTTTATGATTATGCCCCAACTTCTGAGGTTCATTTTCGTCAAGCTTTGTTTCGACAACAAGCCCTGTGACGCTCTCTTGGTCATGGAAATAGCGACAGTTTTTTCCCATCCGACATTTTCCTTTCTTGAATTTCCAACACACCTGCTTAGTTCCCTTTTCAGGTAATTTTTCCGTCATTCGCACATGTTTTTCTAAGATGGAATTCTTGACAAGTTCCGCCTGTTCGAAAGGATTCTTGAACACAGAGGTGACAGTCTCCCTCCCTTGCTGCCCCATATCAGGAGTGGGGAGTTTGTCCTCGAGGGGGTTAGGGAGACGATCCTTCTCATCCTGGGAAGCACAGTCAGCTGCATCTTGACGGTTACAGTCCGAGTCATCACTGTCAGTGTCATCATTGGTTATCAAGAAGTTTTTTGCATTGTATCTATTTCTGGTGTCTTTGTCTCTGTAAGAGAAATGTAAATGTTACCATGGTGATTGATTTTATAAGAGTAAGTGTAGGTTTCACGCAACCTAATTAAAATCAGATCTTAGTTCTTGCTACCGCTAAACAAAGTTCTCAGGACATCCCATTACAGGTCACGTCAGATTGACCTTTCTCGAACCGATCAATGGAATGACTAACAAGAAGTCGACAATAGCCAATCAGAAGGCAGCTTCATCAAGCTTTACGGCACAAGTTTCAAACTTGTGACTACGCTTCGAAACATATTCTGACACATACTCGATAAAAAATTAAAAACTGAACAAAAGAACATTCTGGAATGGCTAATGGATGGTCTTGGTTGTATGAATACAGACATAAAGCCCATAACTATCGTTCGGAATACCCTGTGTTTTTTATTTCGAGGGTGCACGATCAAAAATCAAATTCCAACTGTCACTTTCATGATCTCATAAGCGATGCTCTGATTGGTCAGATGAAAGGTCATTCTGACGTGACCCGCAATGGGATGTCTTTGTTTAGTGGAAGCGAGAACTAACATCTGATATTAATGAGATTGGGTTTTACGTGACAAACTAATGTGTGTCCAGTCTTGACATTGGACGTAGACAAAGAATATACTGCGTCCGGAAGGAAGCACTGTAATATTCATTGTACCTACAGCGCATCAAGAGCAGTTATGGGTGTCTGTTATTTCATCCATCAATCATGACCACTGTCCACATAATCATTGATTCATTCCTGACTCTAAAGTAATTATGAAAACATACAGTATACTACACCATCACATTACTTTACAGGACCCTCATATCGCCTACACGGACCTTCATTCACTGGAGGTCCCCCGGACCCCCACAAATGTAAGTCAAGGTAAAGCCCTGCGAGTGAGACGGAGTATTCAAACAGTATCAAAGAGGACACCAAATAGAGCTTTACGTGCCAATCATGACTGGGAATAAGGGCTTCAGTGAGTGAGTTGAACAGTATTCCACTTATTTTTATGTGTCACCTTAATGTGGGTACAAAGCCCTAAGTACTGCAGGTTCTAAACGTTATTGTTGATAAATGCCTTTTTGCATTCTGGTGGCCTTGTCTTTCAATAAATTCACTAAATATGATCTTGCCTAAGAAAGCCATAAATGTCTAATAAACCTTTATTATATCGTCACTTATCATGGCCAAAAACTGTGGTCTCTTTTCAGGGTGAATACTATCACTATTCCATGGAACAGACAAAACAGAATCTGAATATTTAACTGAGTTCACATCTTCCTCAAACACCTGTAATTTTGACTTTTCTAAATTAAGGGAATTATAGTAAGGATTATGTTGACGTTATGAACATCATCCAAAGATATGAAAGCAAACTGTTCGATTGTCTTGTGAGAAGGCTGTACATGTATTCTTAACTAAAACATGCTGACATCATTCTAAATTGTTGACAATAAGTTATTATTGTTTTACATTACTTTTAGCAATATTCCAGTAATATCATGGCAAAGGGACACAAGAAATGGGCTTGACACACTGTACCCATGTGGGGTGTCGATCTTGGGCCTTTGGAGCGACGAGTGAACACAGAAAGCCCATCACCTCTGTGGAAATTAAAAATGGCAAGGTGCAGTTTACTAGGGCACAAGCTTATAATGCTGATTGGCTCTGGCTGCAGGCTATAGAGCTGCTTGCTCTTGCTCAGAGAGCCTGCTTCACTTATCTCATGCATCTTTGATTCTTAGGGTAAGTTGTGTTTGCATTAGGGTAGGTTATCTCCAAGTCCTTAGCGCTTGGATCCCTTTTCTGATCAAGCACCCCTTTTGGATCATTAAGGTTAGGTACCCCTTTCCAATCAAACACCCCTTCACGATCCTTAGGGTTGGGCACCACTTGCCAATCACAAACCCTTTAATGATCCTCAAGGTTAGTTGTAAGTTAGAGTATAGGTAATCTCACCAGGTGAGGTGAAATGGGGTTTAAGGTTGCATTCACAATTATTGCACTTAAATAGTGGTGTGCGTGCGTTTGTGTGTGGTAATGCTGATTTTATAGTGCTAGCCAATTGAGATACCATGTTGCAGTTTACCATGGATATTCTAGTCAGACACAGTATACTGACTCCGAGCCGACCAGTCCTTGTTTCAGCCCCTTAATAACAAGCCCTAGGCAGGGTAACAACAAGTACCATCTTTTAATGTCTTTTGGTATGACACGGCCGCTGATTGAACCCCCGAACTTCCGCTCCCTGGGTCAACTATCTCACCACTTTTAACAAATTAATCAAGTGTTACTTGAGGAAATCTCTTCAATTTTCACGAAGTTTTGAGTTTTGTGATAGCACCAGTGGTTCCATGGGTAAGTGTTGGTTAATAAGATTAACAAAATAGCCTAGCTTAGCTTCAACCTAGCAATGCATTTTTGATCTGCTGTGTAGTGCTTCTTGATATCAGAAACAGTAAAGCGTGTATACCTATAAAAAGTATCTTTTGTTGTAGCCTGGGACATAAAGCAGTTGTTATGGGAAGGTGGTATTGATTTATTCAGTTCTTTTGATGAAGAACTTTTAAAGTCGGTACTTAAAGGGCAAGTGAACTCAAAATAGCAACTTTGCAGATTTTAATACTTTACAGCATACTTAATCACAAAATGCTTGACCAATATTAAAATTGAAAGAGAAATAGCGTAAAACAGACGATACAAAATATAACAAATCCGACCTCGTTGGGGTAAAAACGGGTTCCTGGATTTTCGGATGTCAACGATCGGGATGGCGCCCAGCTTGCCTGCTACCGCCTCTGATTTTTTAATTGCATCATGGCCTTGCTCTGTCTGCTCATCCGTTTGATTACCGTGTCACAACTTATGCTAAAGAAAACGTTGTCACACAACACCAATAGCTTTAGGCTATGCCCACGAAAAAGGTTTCTTTTGGAAGCCAAGTACGGAGCATATGATTTCAGCACTTTTGCTTTGACATTTAAATACTTTTCACAAATATATGAATTTTCTCTCTCGGAACTTGACAAAATGTATCGAGGTAAATTAATATTAGCAACAAAATTGCAATCATTTTTTTCAGTTAACTTGACCTTTAATCCCACAACATATACCCTCACTCTCAGGGGATGTAGGAGACAGAAGTCCCTATGAACTAAGGCCCCATAGGTCAAAGGCCCCACTAGGACAAAAGCCCCTTATCAACACCTAAAATATTTTGAAATTAGACACATTTAGACCACTGGGGTTCTCCCCCTGCCACATTTCAGGGTTATCAATATGAGCTAAAAATGTCAGCTTTGTAACACAGAACATGAGGCCACTTTACTGGGCACATCCCTTTCATGCTAACAGACAGGAGGCATATTTATCTAACTTGCATTATTCAGACTTATTAACACTTCTGTTAATGTTTTCCCCAAGTTATAATCAACACGGCAATTTCTCTAATCTATATCTTATATCTGTGGCACCGATCATAACAGCAAAAGGCGAGTCCGGTCCGGCACAACAGTCCCACACAAATATCTGAAATGCAAGTGACACATCTGAGCTTGCACACATCAGTATTAATGCGTGATGCGCTTCGGATAGTAGAGACCCTAGTTCCCTATTTTCGTGGGACAAGTGCTCGATCAAATACATTCATAAATTAACAGTAATCAGCGGTGTCATGTTACTATCAAAGTTTTATGGATGCTTCTCTTTATTTAGCTGACTCAAAATGGAATATTACGTCTGACATTCTTCGTCCCCCAGACCTTCGTTCTCTGACAAATCATCCTCGCTTCCGTAATCAGCAACAAGTGAAGCCATGACACTTTTCGCAAAAGTTCAGCAGTGAATTTCGCGGAATTTTTTGATTGGCTGAAGGTACCGGTAACTTCGTCGGCTTCGCTGTTCGGGAGAAAAAGTGAATTTACAATGAAAAACAAAATGAAATGTCATCACAGTTTGTATTCTCGTATTATTTCAAGTTTCAAAGCATCTTCCAACAAAAGGAGATGAAAATAACCGATGTCTTCTTTGTCATTGTCCCAATCACTCCCCGATCAGCTGACGGATATAGATGGCGCTACTTACACTTTTTGAGAACCGAATGGAATATGCCGGAATTGGTCTTACAATATTCCAAATAAATAAATGTGCACCCGTTTTACCGACGCCAATATGATAGTTGCACTTTAAAATGACTAACCCAACTGTTATATAAAATGCATTTTGCTGCTTGACAAAGTTTAGTATCTAGTTTGACCTCACTGGGGTCCCAGACGTAGTAGTTGAAATCCATTACCCAGCCGGGTCGCAACTAGTCTGTCCACTTTGACAGTCGGTGAAGGAAGATGTCGGGGAAAGTGAAGTCGAGAACTGCTGCGAATGCCGCCGACGCAGCAACTCAGTCCGTCAACGAGAGAATTCTGAAAGAGTGTCACACCCTATACATCGATCCAGAAAATGGTATGGGTATTTCTTTGGGTTTAGAAAGGGTTGTTCTTTTCTGGCGCTTATGTAATGTATGCCTAGACGGTGACTCTGCAGACAGCAAATATGCGATTTAGGCGAGACGGTAGACGGACACGCATCAATATATTTCGTTTAAATTCTTATCCACGTCATCAAATTGTGAAAATGACCTGCTTGAAAAAAAACCGCTCTTTCCTGATTGTCTGGTTAAAATATCCAACTTTTTGGTCAGGCGATTGTAGCTAAATATAAATCCGTCTGCAGGGTCTCGCTTGTACCAGCTGATCAAAGGTCACAGAGCCGATGACTCATGTGCCTGGGTTGGGAATTTCCTACGGGTGAAATTTTCAATGAAATAATGGAAAAAATATCTACAATGTCCATTTTGACTATAGACGAAATATTCCTATGCAGAGGTAATGTATTAATCTATGGATGATGCCTGTCTGGATATGTAATGAGATGTTAAAAAAAGTTGACATCTAGGTGGAGGGGCCTTTAAATTTTATGTTTTGACAACACAGCAAAAACTAGTATCCCTTCTTCATGAACATTATCTACTTATTTATCTATAAACATGTTATAAGTATGATTATTCCTGGGAAGATGTCAGTGTCAGGAACAGCTGCTTAAATTCTGTCTTGTGCTTGCAATCAATGCATGATAACTGAAAATATTTTAACAATGCATTTTTTATTTTGCATGTTTGTAAAATCACTTTGAATGTTTTATCTTCTCTTTAGTTAAGTACCTAATATTTGAAATGTTTTCATTTTTTTTGCAAATAACGTAACTGACAAGTCTAACAATTTCATCAAAACTGCTTCACAAGCAAGTCCAAAGGGAAGTCTGCAATGCCCATCACAAAGGCATCTGTAGTGGTGAAATAAAGTATCCATGTTGCATGTTATATTAAGTTATTCAAGATGTATTCGTAATATTTTATCAACATTGCAGATTATTATGCCAAGAAAAGCCAATTCCTGTGCTTCATACCTATCATTGTTATAACAATGTTATGGAATATCATCATTTGAATGCAGATTATAATCAATATTTCTCCACATTATAAGCAGGGACATGACCAGGAATATTTAGATTGTAAGCAGATGAATCCTGTATAGCTTGACATAGGGTTACCTGATCTTTACTATGTTGCCTATAAAACGTTAGTACTTTCAAAGACAATTGTAATGATTCTTAAATAAGTAAATATCAGATGAAATCCTAGTGGTGAACAGTTATGCTTACAGACACAAACACAAGGCGAACCAAACACAGGCAGGTTCCTGTAATAATGTCTACAATATTGATGCTACATTCAAAAATTGCGAACTTGTAATGTAACAGTACAGATTCGAACCCACATCCTTGTCTATATTATTGTTTGCCATATGTGCCTGTCAGTGTGTTGCATGCCTCCTTACCTTGTTGATATGAAAATTTGGTTGTATGTCAACTTGTGGATAACATTTCATGGTTGTCCTCATCCCAACTCATTCTACCAAATGCGAGCACCTAATGAAAAAAAGGGCTGGTTTTTAATTTGTGACTAATAAAATATTATTTCATCAAATATATCATCAAATAAAGATTATTGCTCCTTTATAATATAAGTGTCCCCAATATATTTGTATATATTATGTGTTTATAACACAAATATGGAATATTTCATATTTGTGGCAAATTCTAGGCATGACAATGGTTAGCATCTACTTGCAGATACCTTAGCCTTCTAAAATTTGTATCTTCAAACAAGTGATTCTAGTACAGGCTCTTGTGTGGATTCTTGGACAGAACAGATATCCAACCCCTCATGCTGGAATGGGAATTAGATGGTCACGATTTGTGACCTGGGTCCTGTTTCACAAAGCGATCTTAGCACTGTGATGATCCTTATTTCCATAGAGGGGTCCATTTAATTGCTGGCCCGTTGCCAGTTAAAATTTCAAAGGGCTTTCTCAAACGTAGAGTAGATGGCCCAAGTGGCTAGTCAAAATTTCACCCCTTTTCTTTGTATGTTTAATATTTTTAATTAGACACTGCTTGTGAATCATGTAATTCCGACGAGAAAACAATTAGTTGGGGATGAGGTCATGTGTATGGGTAACTCAAGGAAAGATGTATGTCAATCATCTCAGTAGAATGACAACCAGTTGCCATTTTGTAATGTTGTATACAACAAAAATTTGCTCAAAAATCACCAAGAAATCATGCAAATAGAATCCATGGATGTAAAACAATGCCTAGCAGAACAAAAAAAACAATTTAAACAGTAAATCAGTATGTCTGGTGATTTTTTTATCTCTAATTTCAAATTTGTACTAACCAAACTTCTCATCATCCGTCCGTTACGGTGTAAATCTTTTCTGCGCATAATAATCCGCTAGAGGCACTTTACTCAAGAAAATACAGTATATTAGCTTTGACATCTGCTTGCTACTTATAGAAGGGAATCCCAACCTATTCTGATGTTCAGTGCTTGATGAAAATCAGATATGACGTCTCTGCCTTACAGAAGATCAAAACAACCTACATTTAAAGTTGTTCCAACATATGAATAGACCTGTCTTGTTATGAAGATAAGTTGCAGTTCAATAGTGAAGTGACGCTATTAACATACCTCTTCGTATTCTCCAGAAAATTAGTGACACAGATGTGTCCAGCCAACAGACCAGATTGGTCAGTCTGACACTGTCCAGTCGGAATCAATCATCATTATGGGGGAGTGTCTGACTCAAGATGAGACATTTCACCATCTATGATTCATTGAAGCACCTCTGCTATTGTGACTATAAGTCTGTTAGTTTTGCTTCTGAAAAGGTCTTGCGTCTTGGGCTGGTTCCTGGAAGTTGAAGACGCCTTTGCAGTTTCTTGTTAATTTACCAATTCTCATTCAGAGGTATGAACATGTTGTCAGTCTAATTCATTGATTGTCATGTCTCCGAATTTGCTGATGTGGCAGATTTCAACTAATGTTTTATCATAGACCAGAAAAAATAAAAAATCATATTGATAATTTTGATAGATATTATTAATGGCTATGATTGAATATGCTGAGATTGAATGTAATTGAACATGATTAGCATAGTTTAAAATTAGCTCCAAATTTTTGGGGCATCAGAAAACCAGAAAAAGTGCGTAATTGTGGACAGTATATTTCACAAGATTAAATAGATTTCCTCCTACAAATTTTGAGTGCACGGACCGACATATTTGTGATGAATTTATCTCCGCCAATTAAACCTTTTATCATTGTAGTAAGCAGAAAGTGAAATTCCAAACCATGTTTCAATGTGGGTGTGCTGGTGCTGGTGATATGAAGGTGATATGCAGCTGGTTCTGGTGCAGCTGGTTCTGGTGCAACTGTTTGCTGTCTTGATGCTATTTCTTCTTCATAGTTGCCATGAACAATAGCTTCATGGAGACCCCATCTCCAACAATCTGAGTACAAATTAAAGCCATGTCAGCATTTCAGCCATAACACTTTATATTATAATTTGTGTTTGGATCCTGTCAATGATGACTATACTGACATCTCATCTCTGAAATGAACATATCTTACCAAAAGAAAAAAGTTATCTTAATAAAAATATAATAAAAAGACTCATTTTTACTGATACTGCAGTAATCTAGACTTGCCAAACATTATAGGTTTCAAAAAACAGATTTTCATATAAGACTTAATGGTTAGTGAAAAAACCCCCATTAAAACAACAAATAAATTAGATTCAAACTAACAGCACCTGCTACCTACATGATGCTCCTGCAGGATTTCCACCTTTCCCTTTGGGCATACAAATTGTTAGCAAGCCTAACCAATAATTAAAAAACAAAAACAAATGGGCTATACAATAAAACAGTGGCAGACATGAAAGTGCTTCAAGTGAAATGTACATATCCTTCTTATCAGGGATTTCCAGGACATTGAATTTAGTGTTTGTTGTCAATGGTTTGAGTACAGTAGAACACGGATATAACGAACACGGATAGAGCGAACAAATGGATACTACGAACTGTTAAATCATCCCCGATTTATCTCCTATATATTATCATATAAAATTTACGTACATAACAAACTCTCTACAGCGAACTTACAGATACAGCAAACTGATATCTGATCACCAATGGGCCCATCTACCACTAATTAGTGACGTGTATAGCGAAATGAGAAATCTCACTCAATGTCAAGTGTTAATGACAATTGGATGTACGCAATCAGACGCGAATCAACACAATTACTGGTGACGATTCAATCTAGTTTCAAACTTGCATAAGGGGCGGTCGGGTAGCCTAGTGGTTAAAGCGTTAGCTCGTCACGCCGAAGACCCAGGTTTGATTCCCGACATGGGTACAATGTGTGAAGCCCATTTCTGGTGTCCCCCACGGTGATATTGCTGAAATATTGCTAAGAGTGGCGTAAAACCTCACCCACTCACTCACTCAAACTTGCATATGTTAATACTGATCAAATAGTAACTTCAGATACAATTTTGTCTGACCATTGCATTAAAATGTTGGTACTTTTTAACTGAATCACCGGTAGATGTGGGAGGAAACGTGTATAAATGTGTATGTGTATTGTATTTTGTTTTAGCCAAGATGGCGGACGTTTCCGAGCGAAAACTTATATAACAAACAACTCATATAACAAACTGATTTCTCCCGTCCCTTGTAGTTCGTTATATCCATGTTCTACTGTATTTAAACACTTTGCTCACATTCCATCATCTTTTAAACCAACTTGTAAACAATAAGCGTTATATCTAAACGTCAGTTGCTATTAAATCCCTTATGAATGTCAAGGATGGTGGATTAGCTATGTGCTTGTAAGGCTCTCGTTACTCACAATCAAAGCCCTTTAAGGTAACCTGCAAGAAGACTCGTCTCCCTATTGATCAGATCTACATGCGCTGTCACAACAAATCAATCAGAATGCATGTATAACAATATCAATATATTAATAGTCAGTGTTTGAAATATTATTAAAACTC